TCTGCTCCCAGTTTGACAAAGTTGGAAGTATAAAAAGTGTGCACGCATTATCTTATACTCTTTGCATTAGAGCAGAAAATACCATGTGTGCTTGCATCCTGATTGGTTTTTTTTTGTCTCTGACTCAGGTCCTTATTCAGACCAAATATATGCCTTTTGGAGACCTCATGCACCTCCTGGTTTTGCAGTTCTTGGTGACTATCTGACGCCAGTGTCAGTATCTTTTAACAATCTTCTTCATCTAGTTATTGGTATCTTGTTTTTATATTTTCAATATTGATGTACCAGTATCCATGTAACAGGGATAAGCCACCTACAAGAGGAGTTATTGTTGTAAATTCAAACTATGCAAGAATTAAGAGACCTGTATCTTTTAAATTGATCTGGTCGCCTGTAGATTCTGGGAGCGTTTCTGATCATGATAAAAAAAATTCATTGCCAAATGGTGCTTTTGATGGAGAAAGTTGTTCAATTTGGTTTCCCGAAGCGCCCAAAGGTTATGTTGCATTAGGCTGTGTGGTTTCTGCTGGAAAAACACAACCGCTGCTGTCTTCTGTCTACTGTATCTCGGCTTCATTAGTTTGCTCATGTTCCTTGAGAGACTGCATTGCAATCAACACTACCAATTTGTACGTATTACTTTGATTTTTCAGATACAACAACATGTTAAAGCTTAGTGGTACAAATCTATCAATGGCTTAAGCTCAGATCCAAATTTGGATGATTACAAGGATATTCTTTATTGTTACTGAATAATCAAATTTTGTAAGGCAGAAATCTTATTACTCATGATAAATCTTGACGCATCTTTTGAGTCTGTCTCATTGGATCAGATTTAGGTTGTATACATTTGGCTTGTACAGATCTTTAATATTTTGACTATGGTCAACCCTCTGTGCCTGACTACACGCATGTATCATTTTAGTATCACATTCTTAGTTAGGTAGCCTCTTAATAGGAGTATTTTGTAGTCCAAAAGTTTTTCTTGTAAATTTCAATTTATAATGACTCCATTAATTTTGAAAATCTATAAATTGAGAAATTTATTTACTGGATACATGCTTTGCTGCATTTAACATTGCTTACCTTTTTCCTGTTTTGTGGTAAAGGACATCTTTATAAGTATCATTAATGTAACATTTCAGGAACATACCAAGTTTGGCATTCTGGCGTGTCGATAATTCTCTTGGAACTTTCTTGCCAGCAGATCCAACTGCTTATAACTTAGCTGGTAGAGCATATGATTTGCGCCACATAATATTTGGCACTTTGGAAGGCTTTTCAAAAACATCCCAGAGTATGAATGCCCAAGCCTCGTCATCTAGCCACAGTCGCAACCTCCAATCAGTAGGACCACTATTGAACTCCGCGTTGCACTTTGAAGCTGTTGCTAGTTTTCGATTGATATGGTGGAATCAGGGTTCAAACTTGAGGAAAAAACTGTCTATTTGGCGTCCAGTGGTCCCGCAGGGAACAGTATTTTTTGGTGATATTGCTGTCACAGGGTATATGATACTTGTGGATTTTTTATTGTCTTAACTCTTTGTTTTGTTTTGTCTGTTTTTGTTTTTATGTGTTATTGTATTATTGGATTATTGCTTTTGTGTTTTTGTGTTTTGTTTTTTGTTTTTTTCTTTGGTTTTTGGTTTTTTGTTTTGTTTTCTAAATTACTATGTAAAGGTTGTCTTAAGTTAGATCTATCTTTAATAAAATTGTCTGTCTAGTTACATTTATTTTTCATCCTTCCATAATCTTAATATTTGGCATTACTGAACATAGGTATGAGCCCCCAAATAGTTGTATTGTTCTTCGTGATACCGGAGATGAAGAGCTTTTCAGAACCCCTCTGGACTTTCAGCTTGTTGGGAAAATCAAGAAACATAGAGGAATGGAAAGTATATCTTTCTGGCTACCTCAAGCTCCTCCTGGCTTTGTTTCCTTGGGTTGTATTGCATGCAAGGGAACCCCAAAGCAAGATGAGTTTAGTACGTTGAGATGCATGCGCAGTGATATGGTTACTGGTGATCAATTTTTGGAGGAGAGTCTTTGGGAGTCTTCTGATTCTAAGCTTGAGACAGGGACATTTAGTATATGGGCGGTTGGTAATGAGCTGGGGACCTTTATTGTACGAAGTGGATTTAAGAAACCTCCAAGAAGATTTGCTTTAAAGCTTGCAGATACCGATGTACCCAGTGGTTCAGATGACACTGTGATTGATGCAGAAATTAGGACTTTCTCTGCTTCACTTTTCGATGACTATGGTGGCTTGGTAAGATTTTTTATTCTAAAATTTTTTTGTGAGGTCTTGAGAAATTTGTTGAAACTCCTCTAGCCCGTGGGAATGTTTTTTTGGATCTAGTATATGAATCACAATAATGAATTTGTTTTATGTAAATAATTAAATAAGTATGAAAGAAACCAATTCTTTGACATGGATTATTATGATTGCGAGGAACAATGGGCAGAAAGGTGATGCTAGGATAGATCAAAATTGTTTCTTTAGGACATCTTTTCCCTCAGTTTTGGTTCATCCTGTTCATGTTTCTTTTGTTCTTTCGGAAACTTCCATTTATTCCCTATCGGGATTCAAGTTCTAATTCTCTTGTATAAAAGTTATCATTGCTTTAACTCTGAAATCCAATTAAATGATACAAATCGAGCACATGCATACAACATGTCTATAATAAATATCAAATAATGAATATGATGCATCTTTTGACCAGTACTACACTTGTGAAATGTGTGACAAGTAGTTTCCTTAATGATTGCATCCTTGAGTTTTGCAGATGGTTCTGTTGATCTATGTATCTTTAAGTGGAAAGATACGTCTTTAGATCAGTACTATACTTGTGAACCATGTGACAAGTTATTTCCCTAATGATTACACCCTTGAATATGGCAGATGGTTCCATTGTTCAATGTGTCTTTGAGCGGACTAGGGTTTAGCTTACATGGAAGAAGGGACTATTTGAATTCTACTGTCGGCTTTTCTTTGGCAGCTAGATCATACAATGATAAGTATGAATCTTGGGAGCCTCTTGTTGAGCCAGTGGATGGATTTTTAAGGTAATTTCTCCTCTAGAAGCTACACATTTAGGTAGCATTTATTTCTAATTCAACCTAAAAAAGGTCATCTACTTGGGGATCTGATGCGCAGTTCTGTCTTTGCACACTTTTTTTTTCTCATTGATTAGAATGCGTCCTTTTTTTTTCCTGTTTATTCTCATGTCTATTCTACCTCATCATGCATAATTAAAATTGAGGAGCACTTGTTAGTATCTTCCTTAAGTAATGCATCTTTTACTTGGTAAACATCTTTGAAATAGTTCGATTGTCCCAGTTTTTAGAGTTCCGAGTCTTTTTCATGTCTAGAACAACAAAAGTTTTTCACGTTGTTGCACCCTTTTGCTGATGTCTGAGAATTACCAAAGGGTTATACTTTTACATTAGGTCATGTTGAAATTCTCTCAATTTAACTTGACCGGTTTAATTAATTTTGTTGTGTAGTACTTGATTGCTGCATTTATTTTAGTTCTTTGCTGATTTCTAGTTACTTTCAGGTACCAGTATGATCTCCATGCTCCAGGTGCAGCTTCTCAGATACGGCTGACATCTACAAGGGATCTTAACTTGAATGTTTCTGTTTCAAATGCTAATATGATTGTTCAGGCTTATGCAAGCTGGAGCAATCTGAGTAATGTCCATGAATATAATGCAACAAGAGTACGTTTGTTTTGTTCCGTCTCAAGGAACTGTTCCATTCCATTTATTGATCTACATATGGCTTATCCTCTTTCGTCATTCCTTTTGTTGTCTATTACTTGTATCTAACTTTTGTCTTCCCTTCTTGGAACATATAAAATTGAACAGGAGAAGTTTTCTCCCACACTCGGTGGAGGATCAATTATTGGCAATCATCACAAGAAGAACTACCATATTATCCCAAAAAACAAACTTGGGCAGGATATATTTATAAGAGCAACCGAATCAACGGGACTCACAAATATCATTAGGATGCCATCTGGGGATATGAAGCCTGTGAAAGTGCCGGTTTCAAAGAACATGTTAGACTCACACTTGAAAGGAAAACTTTTCAAGAAAGTTAGAAGAATGGTGGTAGTTATGATAGCTGAAGGAGAGGTATTTCACTTGGAGCGTTGGTTATAATTTCCGCGCTTCTGTTTTGTTTTTACCTTGCAACAATGATTTTGCTTGCCTTGTTTACTTGAATATACTGTAATGCAGTTCCCAGGAGTTAGACGGTTGACTTTCCCTCAGTATACTTTAGCAATCCGTCTCACTCCAGACGGAAGTTTATCCAGTGATTCACTGCTTCATCAGCAGAGTGCCCGCACTTGTGGAATGGGTCCAGATCATCTGTCTTCTGAGCTTTCATTGGTTAATTGGAATGAAGTATTCTTCTTTAAAGTTGATACTCCGGTATGTATTTTAACTGTCACGCCTTTTACTATCTCAATTTGAAAAGTCCTGTCTGTAAGATTTCTCTTTCATTAATAGGAGGTCTTGGATATTTATACAATTGGATAAATACATTAGGGGACAAATTTCTCTGTCCCAATGCATTTTGCACTTTTATCATTTATAGTTACAGTCTATAAAATGACGATAAGCTCTCCTAACTAGAGAAAAGAAGGAAAAATTCGAAAGTTCATAGTAAAGTTTCTGTTTGTCACACTCATTCCTTAAACATGAAGAATGGTCTCATGTTTGGGCAAAACAAGAATATGTACAATGAAAGCTAAAAGTTTATACCATGTCATTAGCATGAGTCCTTTAGAGACCCCAATAGTGTTTAGTACATTTGTGTTTTCTATTTGCTTCTATCTTTGCAATATCCAATGAAATTACACTTTATTTGTTTGGCTAATGCTTTCTTAGTCTCCTGATCTGTTGGTACTTGTACATCTATTTTTCCTGGAAATTGGTGCTGCAACTGATGTAATGTTTTCCTTAACTTTGGCATACTCTGCATGAAGCAGTCTTTAGTAATACTACTAGATGTAGGATATTTGGTTGCGTGAGACTATCATATTTCCTTTAGTCTTTGTCTGCCCATGTTCTTCCCTTTGCAACCACCTAAACTTCTTCCGTTGAAATTTTCACAGGAGCAGTACATGGTGGAATTAGTTGTGACGGACATGGGGAAAGGTTTATCTTTCTTTCACTCGGTTTCTTCTATTCATTTTTGTTATTTATTCTCTCTTTTTCTGGAGGGATTAAGAGGCTGGCACATGTTTCTAAGATTACATACACTGAAAGACATAATTTTAGTCATGAACTTCTGCTTCTTCTTCTTTTTATTTTTATTTTTCTTTTTTTTTGGGTCCCCCGACTATAACAGATATGGACCTGCATAAATGCTGCAGCTTGCGACCTTAAATTTTTGCATATTAACTATACCAAGATAAGTGCGAAGTATACATTACTATAGATACTGCACGGTTTTACCAAAAGTGGAGATTAGAAGAGCAGTAGAAATAGTTTCCCTTGGTTTTTATTGGTTTTGCAGCGACTCCAACAATGCATGGATTAGATGGGCCTGGGGCTTGGGTTTCTTTCTCGATAATCGATTGTAGCAGAAACATTTCGTAACCTCATTCAAAAAAGAAAAAGAAATATTCAGTAACCATGCTGTGTCGTAAGTTGATGCTTGAATAGCTTTTCTCTCAAATCCTTCATTACGCACGTGCACATGCACACACACACATACTGGGCATTGATTTTATGAGAACGAAGAATATGGTACTAATTTTGTGTCCTTGTACTCTTAAGACCTAGAAGTCCATTCTTTTTGAGAGAATTAGGGCTAAATTTGACCAGAGAGATGAGCTACACAAAAGTAAGAAGATTTCAGATAACAAATATGTCGAATTATCTAGCCTTATCAGGAAACCGTGTGATTGTATAGGATAATGTGTGATTTCCTGATTTCTAGAGATTCTGTTAGGTGTATAATCTATTTTGATAGTTTCCTATTTTGTAGAGATTTTATTCCTATTCTTTAGGCTGCAGCCGTGTATATATCTTAGCCTCTCCTTGTAACCTATTCTCACGAGTGAATGAATTACTTTTACTCCTAATTAATATTGCTACATGGTATCAGAGCCCTAGGCTCTTTTCTGGGTTGTTTCTTCCCGATTTTCTTTGCTTCTGTCAGCCTGTTCAATCAGCGTTTTTCAGCGTTATTCCTCAGCCTTTTTACTGCTCGCTGTTTGCTTGAACCTTTTATTGAAAGACCAGCCCTTCATTCCTTCGTTTCTACTATCACCCTCTAAAACGTGACCGATTTATCCAAGCACCATGACAGACGCTTCTGTAACCGGCAAAACGACCGAGTCTTCTGGGATTTCCTCGACCGAGAGCAACATCAACTCTTCTACAGGGGACTTGCAGAATATTCAGGCTGCTTATAGATTAAATGGAAAAAATTATCTTAAGTGGTCTAAATTGGTTCGCACGTTTTTGAAGGGAAGAGGCAAACTGAGTCATTTGCTCAGTAATGGGCCTAAACAGGGAGACCCTAAGTTTGATGCTTGGGATGAACAGGACTCACTTGTGATGTCCTGGTTATGGAACTCTATGCTGCCCGAAATAAGTGACACATGCATGTATTTGAGTATGGCAAAGGAGATATGGGATGCCGTGAGAGAAACATACTCAAAAGTCAATGATGCTGCCCAGATTTATGAAATTAAGACCAAAATCTCAACCACCAAGCAGGGAAATCGGTTAATCACAAAATACTCCAATCTTTTGAAATCTCTTTGGCAAGAGATGGACCATTACCAGTGCATTCAAATGAAGTGCCGTGAGGATGCAGCCATTCTTAAAAGATTTGTTAAAAAAGGACGAATCTATGACTTTCTCGCAGGATTGAATGTGGAGTTTGATGCCGTACGGGTACAGATACTCGAAAAGGATGACCTGCCTTCATTGAACGAGACAATTGCTCTCATCCTCGCTGAAGAAGGAAGAAGAGGGGTTATGATTGAAGCGCACACTGTGGAGAGTTCAGCCTTGGTGTCAAAGGCTAATAACACAAGGAGTTTTGGCTCAAACCAGCGCCAAAAAGAGGATAACAGAAAGGTAGTACGATATTTTGGCTCAGAACAACGCCGAAAGGAAGAAAACATACAGGTTGTATCTTCGAGACAATCCAACAAAGATTCCTTGTGGTGTTCGTATTGCAAGAAACATCGACACACTAAGGAAAACTGCTGGCAACTGAATGGGAGACCTCCGAATATGAATTCTGCGACAAACGAGCAAGGACAAGCACATGTGGCTCAGAGTTATTCAGGCCATGAAGAGGGATCACAGAATTCTAGTTCAAGATTTGACAAAGAATAGATTGATAAGTTGAAGATGTTGTTGGGATCTCTTGAGAAATCTTCCTCGGCAGGTACATGCTCATTGGCGTTTTCAGGTATCTCTTCTTCCTCTTGTGTTGCTAATGTCTCAGAAAAAATTTCTTCAAGGATGTGGGAGATTGATTCCGGAGCCAGTTACCACATGGCCTATTCCTCCAAGTGTTTTATTTCCTATACTCCTTGTTCCAGTAATAGGAAAATAACTATAGCTGATGGGTCCATTACTACTGTTGCTGGCCAAGGGGACATTTATATAAATGACTCTCACACTTAAAAATGTTCTCCATGTCCCAAAACTTTTTGCAAACCTCATCTCCATTCAAAAGCTTACCAAAGACTTCACTTGCAGTGTAACATTTTTTCCCTCATATTGTGTCTTTCAGGAACAGGGCACGAGGAGGATGATTGGACGTGCTAGTGAGAGGGACGGTCTTTACTACCTGGAAGCCCAAAGTGGAAGAACTAATGTTGAGGATTCCCTATCTACATCATTCCTTTCTGAGTCAGTTTTGTCAAATAAAGATAAAGTTTGGCTTTATCATCGTCGTCTAGGGTATCCGTCTTTTAGTGTCCTAAAGTTGATGTTTCCTATGTTATTCAAAGAGTCTACGATTGAAATGTTTCATTGTAATGATTGTGAACTTGCCAAGCATAAACGTGCTTCCTTTCCAATAAGTAATACAAGAACACTTGTTCCTTTTTCTCTCATTCATAGTGATATTTGGGGACCTTCTATAGTTCCTAATGTTTCTGGTGCTAGGTGGTTTGTTTCGTTTATTGACGATTGTACCCGTGTAACATGGATTTATCTCCTGAAACACAAATCGGATGTCGGTAGTGTTTTTCCCAATTTTTACAACATGATCAAAACTCAGTTTGATGTGAGAATTAAGCGATTTCGTTCTGACAATGCCCGAGATTATTTCAATCAAATTCTCTCCCCATTTTTCCAAAAGGAAGGGATTATTCATGAGTCTTCTTGTGTTAGTACCCCTCAACAAAATGGAGTAGCCGAACGTAAAAATGGTCATCTTTTAGATATCACAAGAGCATTATTGTTCCGTTAAGATGTTCCAAAGCAATATTGGGGAGAAGCAGTTTTGACCGCTGCCCATCTTATTAATAGACTTCCAACTCGAGTCCTTGAGTTCCAAAGTCCAGTAGCAATTCTCACTAAATTTTTTCCAAACTTCAATGCTTCCAATAATCTGGTTCCTAGAATTTTTGGCAGTGTTGCATTTGTTCATTTCCACTCCCAAAACAGAGGGAAACTTGATCCTCGCGCTATTCGGTGCATTTTCATAGGATATTCTTCTACACAAAAGGGGTACAAATGCTTCCATCCACCTACTAGGAAATTTTATGTCTCGGTGGATGTTACTTTTGTCGAGAATGAGTCCTTTTTCCCGCAGTCCTATCTTCAGGGGGAGACCTTAAGTGAAGATAGAGCAAAGGACCTCTCTCTCCTTAATTTTCCTGGCCAGCCCGATTTTCCTCCTGAGTCCTCAGTTGAGTCTGTTTCACCACTTGTTCAGTCCACTCCTTCTAAGTCTACACCATCAATTGAGTCACCCACGTCTGGTGGAATGATGAAAGATAAGGGGAAACAAGACAATTTCAGCCACTGCAGGTTTATTCCAGGAAGAAAAGACCAGTCTCTCGATCGGTACAGGTACAATCTCCTATTCGTACTACTGTTCTGACTCCCGAAATCCCTTCTAGACATACTGAAATTATCACACCATCAGCTGAACCCATTGAACCCGTAAAAGAACATGGAGATCCAAGTGATGCCGACCTACCACTTGCTCTTAGGAAAGGAACCAGAACCTGTACACAACACCCACTACACATGTTCATGACCTATCAAAACATATCCCAAAGCCATAGAGCCTTTCTTAGCAACCTTCATACAATACCCATTCCGAGAAATCTATCTGAGGCATTAGGGGAAAAGAAGTGGGAGGATGCTATGAAGGTGGAGATGGAGGCTTTGGAAAAGAACAAGACATGGGAGTTGGTTGGATTGCCGAAAGGGAAGAAATTAGTTGGATGTAGATGGATTTTCACTGTGAAGTACAAGTCCGACGGCTCTGTAGAAAGATACAAGGCAAGGTTGGTTGCCAAAGGGTACACTCAAACCTATGGTATTGATTATGTAGAGACGTTTGCCCCAGTTGCGAAGATGAACACAGTACGAGTCCTTCTGTCATTGGCTGCTAATTTTGGGTGGAATCTACAACAGTTTGATGTCAAGAATGCGTTTCTCCATGGTGATCTAGAAGAGGAAATTTATATGGAGGTTCCTCCTGGGTTTGAATCTAAAGGGGGCATGGTGTGTAAATTAAAAAAGGCTTTCTACGGACTCAAACAATCACCGAGAGCTTGGTTCGGAAGATTTACCGAGGTAATGACTACCTTGGGGTATAAACAGAGTCAAGGTGATCATACTCTATTTGTGAGACACTCTAACTCAGGGGGAGTGACAGCTTTGTTGGTTTACGTGGATGACATTATAGTGACAGGAAATGATGCGGGAGAAATGAATAACTTAAGGCGACGTCTTCTCAAAGAATTTGATATCAAGGAGCTTGGAAAATTAAAATACTTCCTAGGCATTGATGTGGCACATTCAAAGCAAGGGATCTTTATCTCTCAACAGAAGTATGTGCTTGACTTACTAAAGGAAACAGGGAAGTTGGGCTGTAAGCCGGTTGACACACCCATTGAATTCAATCATGGACTATGTGATGCTCCAGAGGATCCCGTGGTGGATATAGGCTCCTATTAGAGACTTATTGGGAGGTTGATCTATTTGGCACATGCTAGACCAGATATTGCATTTGCAGTCAGTATTGTCAGCCAATTCATGCACAATCGTAAAGAATCCCATCTTAGGGCGGTTCATAGAATCTTGCAATACCTGAAGGGCAATCCTAGAAAAGGTATTTTATTCAAGAAAGGAGAAGGTATGACACTAGAGGCCTATACAGATGTGGATTATGCAGGATCATTGATTGATAGGAGGTCAACTCCGGGCTATTGTACGTTCCTAGGTGGAAATCTTGTAACGTGGAGAAGTAAGAAGCAAAACGTGGTGGCAAGATCAAGTGCAGAATCCGAGTTCAGGTCTATGGCAATGGTTATATGCGAACTGCTATGGTTGAAGATAATTCTTGATGATTTGAAGATAAAATGGGAAGGACCAATGAAACTATACTGTGACAACAAATCAGCAATCAGTATTGCTCATAATCCTGTCCAACATGATCGAACGAAACACATTGAAGTTGACAGACACTTTATCAAAGGGAAACTTGACAGTGGGTTGATATGCACTCCGTTTGTTTCAACAAAAGATCAACTAGCGGATGTGCTTACAAAGGGACTGCCTGGAACAGCATTTCGAGACATTGTCAGCAAGCTGGGAATGAAGGATATACATTCACCAGCTTGAGGGGGAGTGTCGAACTATCTAGCCTTATCAGGAAACCGTGTGATTGTATAGGATAATGTGTGATTTTCTGATTTCTAGAGATTCTGTTAGGTGTATAATCTATTTTGATAGTTTCCTATTTTGTAGAGATTTTATTCCTATTCTTTAGGCTGCAGCTGTGTATATATCTCAGCCTCTCCTTGTAACCTATTCTCACGAGTGAATGAATTACTTTTACTCCTAATTAATATTGCTACAATAATCTTTTTCATGTTTCAATTTTGTTTCCTGTGGACTTTTTGATGCCGGAGAGAGAGGGAGGGAGGGAGGGGGAGAAATTCGGAGGAAAAAGGGGACAGTAGGCTAGAAATCTGAGTATTCAATAACAATAGTCAAGGTCTAACGTATAAATGCAATCACTAGGCTTATTTATAGTGAAATAAACCCAATAATAAAATAAACTCAACATAATAACGAGATAAACTTAACTAAATTTTAAATAATCCTAGTAGATAATTATAACCATAAATTCCTAATTATCTATATTTTGTTCCCCAACACTGTTATCAGGCACTTTTTTCTCCATTGTATTGTTGAATTCATGAGTTCTGCTCTTGTATAAATTCTTTGATATGGCTGTTTCTCGTCAATTTATTGAATCCCATCGTTTTGGTTAGCATGCATTAACTTTGGGTCAGATCTTATGTTCCATTTACAGGTGCGCCTATTGGATTCTTCTCAGCCCCTCTAAACGAGATAGCACAAAACTTTGAAGTAAATCCACATACATCTGACCTTGACCTTGCGAATAAATGGACCTGGATAGAATTATCCTCAGCAGAAACTACGGTAAACTCCTCTCATATTTTAATTTTTCATATTATGATCATGTCCGCTTTATATAATCAAACGCTCAAACGCTTAGCCTTTCCTTTATGATATTTGTGCAGAATACGATTCAAGGAAATGACAGTAAAAAGTCGTGTGGAAGAGTGAGGTGTTGCATACTTTTGTCACCAAGACATGAAATTGAGAACAATAATCAAAATACTATTAGTAACAGAAGATCTGGATTTATTCAGATAAGTCCAAGCAGGGAAGGGCCTTGGACAACTGTAAGACTGAACTACGCTGCCCCTGCTGCTTGTTGGAGACTGGGGAATGCTGTCGTTGCCAGTGAAGTAAGTGTCAAAGATGGCAATAGATACGTGGATATAAGATCTTTGGTCACAGTACATAATGCTACGGAATTTATACTTGAATTGAGTCTTGTTTCCCAAACATCCAGGGAAAGAATGGGGTCGCTAGATGATGCAAGTGACCCTGAAGGTTTACAGATTGATTTAAAAAGAGAAATTGACATTGGAACTTTGAGACCTGGAGATACCATACCCCTTCCTTTATCCGCTTTGACACAAGCTGGAGTATACTTTTTGCGATTAAGGCCTTCTAACCCCAGTGATCCCAACCCCAGTGATCCCATTGAATATTCTTGGAGTTCTGTGGTAGGTAGGCTTGATCAACCAGAGGATCCAAATAAACTCTGCCTGCCTTCTGGAATAAGTGTATCGTCTCTCACCGAGTCTGAGGAACTTCTGTACTGTACCGAGATAAGTGGGACATCTTCAAGAAACTGCCAAAGATTGTGGTTTTCTGTAAGCATACAAGGAACAGAGATTGCAAAAGACATTCATTCTGATCCTATACAGGATTGGAATCTTGTGGTCAAGTCCCCATTATCTATCACCAATTTTCTTCCTCTTATGGCTGAATTTTCTGTTCTGGAGAAGCAAACAAGTGGAAATTTTGTTTCTTGCTCAAGAAGTGTATTCTCTCCTGGAAAGACCATGAATATTCATAATGCTGATATTAGAAATCCTTTATTCTTTTCATTGCTTCCAAACAGAGGATGGCTTCCTGTGCATGTGAGATTTTGATACCCGTTGGAGATTTTCTTTTGCTAGATGTTTATGCATTGACCCTTTAACCGTTTGATTTTACAGGAAACTGTCCTTTTATCGCATCCTCATGAAGCTCCATCGAACACAATAAGTTTGAGAAGCTCAATATCTGGAAGGTTCTAACTTGTCATTCATAAATTATTTTGAATCTGTTACCCAAGAGGCTTTATGATGCTTTGCAACTTTATTTCGTGTTGTTTGATGGGTGCAATTATGATGATTTTTGCAGGATTGCTCAAATTATCCTTGAACAAACTTTTGATAAAGAACGACCCCTGCAGGCCAAGACTTTTAGAGTTTATGCACCGTATTGGTTTACAATTGCTCGATGCCCCCCGCTCACGTGTAGGCTTCTAGATATAACAGGAAAAGGGCAGAAGCGGAAGTTCAGTGTTTTTCATTCTAAGAAGAATACTGAAGTTATCCTTGGGGACATAACAGAAGAGGAATTGTATGAAGGCCATACAATCGCATCAGCTCTGAACTTTAGATCGATGGGTCTTGCAGTTTCTATTGCTCAATCTGGAAAGGAGCAGTTTGGACCTGTTAAGGATCTTTCTTCCCTGGGTGACATGGTATGTGTCAAATATATTTTTATTTACCCGTCCTACCATGAAATAAAAAGAGAATTATTTGTTTTAGAAATTGTTTTCTTGTCCTTAGGATGGATCACTGGATCTCTATGCTTATGATGAAGGAGGAAATTGCATGCAACTGTTTATTACTACAAAATCAAGCTCTTTTCCATCTGTACCTATAAAGGTAGTTCTCCAAGTATTAAATTCCCGTGAATTTTAACAGAAGGTGCTTAACTCATTTTCCTTTTGTTTAGGTTATATCCGTTCGGCCCTTTATGACTTTTACCAACAGAATTGGTCGAGACATGCTGATTAAGTTAAGTAGTGAAGATGAGCCGAAGGTTCTTCATGCATCAGATTCAAGAGTCTCCTTTGTAAATCGTCAATCAGGTGGACTTGATAAACTTCAGGTTAGCGAATTACTACTTGTTGCATCAGTTTCTGCTATTCAAGTTTATCACGTGTTTATATTCCTGATACTTATTTTTCTCATATTTTCCTTCCATGTTACGTTATGGTTGGAGAAAATTATTTCCTTCCATGTTACGTTATGGTTGGAGAAAATTATTTCCTTCCATGTTATGTTACGGTTGGAGAAAATTGATTCTCTAATTAAGTACACATCATATAAGCACTGATCTCACCCTGATGCATGCCTGCTTGTTTGCACTCTGCTGTGTCACATCACCAGTTTCACCGCTTGATTAGAGAATCTCTAGTTTTTTTCAAATTTTCAAGCTCGTCTTAATTTGTTAATAAGATAGCTTTGGAAGCATTGCACAGTATGGCGGATGCCTCATCTTACTTGCCCCGAATATTTTCCATTCTTGGAGCTACAAATAAGTGGGAATCTTTCTTTATACAAGTAAAAATAGGAGAGGGTTTCATTGATATACCCATTGTTAAAGTTACTGCAATGCTGATATTAGAATCTGGTTGTTCAGGTTCCTTCTTATTTAACTAGTAATTCTCTTACATATGGTGAAATTGATGAATTACTACATTCTATAGTAGTGCATGTTATATATTGCATTTCGCTGTGTGTAAAGTCTAGTTTCTTGAGACTCTCTCTCTCTCTCTCTCTGTGTTTGTTTTTGTTTCTTTCTTTGTGTGTGTGTGTGATTCTTTTAACTTAAATTGTTCTGGAGATTACCCTTTTGTTTTATTTCTAGGTCCGGTTGGAAGGCACCAATTGGTCATTTCCTGTTCAAATTGTAAAAGAGGACACAATTTTTCTTGTTTTAAGGAGGCATGACGGTTCTAGGATTTTCTTGAGGACAGAAATTCGGGGCTATGAGGAAGGATCACGCTTCATTATTGTATTCCGCCTGGGGTCAACCACTGGTCCTATCAGGTACCTTTATCCTAAAATAACAGTTTGTATTGTGTGTTCACATGTTCATATGATGCTAAATTCACGTTTATGAAACGTTGCCTTTTCTTATAGTAGATTGCATGATATTAATGTTGATTGTGAGCAACTTATCAAAGCTTTTCTTGAGCAGAATTGAGAATCGAACAACCAGCAGAAAAATAAGTATTTGCCAGTCTGGTTTTGATGAAGGTTCCTGGGTTCATTTAGAACCTCATTCAACAACAAATTTTTCATGGGAAGATCCATATGGCCAAAAATATATCGATGCTAAGATTGATTGTGGGTCTGGTATTGGTGTTTGGAAACTTGATTTGGAGAGGACTGGATTGCATGCTGCAGAAAATGGAGAACTAGGATTGCAGTTTCATGTTTTGGAAATGGGTGATTTTAAGGTTGCTTGGTTCACAGATGAGAAGACTTCAGCGTCAAATTCAGCTGAAGAAATTAGGTGTTTGCCACTTGATGTAAATTGGGAACATTCTTATATGCAGACAAAGATACAGAAAGATGCTTTGCCTATTGAAGTTATAGTTGAGTTGGGAGTAATAGGGGTTTCTGTTATAGACCACAGACCGAAGGAGCTCTCCTACTTCTATTTGGAGAGAGTCTTCATCTCATATTCAACTGGCTACGATGGTGGGACAACAAGCCGGTAAGGCATCACCTTCTTTTAGTCTATAAACCTTTGTTCTATTGTATTTTCAGTTCTCATGTCTATGCATTGTAAATAAATATATATATATATATATATGAACAAAAACGTTCTTACTGTATGTCTTATTCATTGAGGAAAAGCTTACAGCTATTTATAGAGTACAAAGTATTTTAGTATACAACCTATACCAGGAAATTCTTAAATCACAAAAGAATCAAAGAATTACTTTCTGAAATTGACAGCTAACTATCCTATCACTTACAGCTTGCATTGACTCAATAAATCAGGAAACTATCCCTAAGAATCCTACCATTGACTAGACAAACCAGGGAATGATTTCCCTGAGAATCAGAGGACAAATCAGGGAATGATTTCCCTGATAATTTGAGTCAATGAATCTTGACAGATTCGTCAACACTCCTTCTCAAGCTGCTGAGTGTATGTTTTACGTTCCCATTTTGTTGGTAATACTTTGAAACGTTGCATTAGGAAGTCCCTTCGTTAGAATGTCTGCCAGTTGCATGTTGGTAGGAATATAAGGAGTGCAAATAAGTCCATTCTCGAGTTTTTCCTTGATGAAATGGCGATCAATTTCCACATGCTTTGTTCGATCATGTTGTACAGGATTGTGTGCAATATTGATAGCTGATTTGTTGTCACAATACAGCTTCATAATGCCTTCCCATTTCACTCCTAGGTCTCCTAGAATAATTTTTATCCATAATAGCTCACATATGCCTTGAGCCATTGCTCGAAACTCAGCTTTGGCGCTTGATCTAGAGACTGCTGATTGTTTCTTACTTCTCCAAGTTATGAGGTTTCCTCCAAGAAAGGTATAGTACCCCGAGGTGGATCTTCGGTCAACAAGAGATCCGGCCCAATCCGCGTCTGTGTATGCTTCCAAGTTTAGCCTTCCATTTCTTTCGAATAGGATTCCTTTTCCTTTGAATAGGATTCCTTTTCCAGGAGTGCCCTTGAGGTATTGAAGGACTTTGTATGCAGCTTGTAGGTGTGTCTCTCGAGGGGCATGCATAAACTGACTTAGAACACTCACTACATAGGCTATGTTTGGTCTTATATGAGCAAGATAAATGAACTTCCCGATCAGCCTCTGATATCTTCCCTTGTCAACTTCTGGACTATCTACAGCTTTTCCTAACTTGTGATGATAATCAATAGGAATTTCTAAAGGCTTGCATCCCATCATACTTGTTTCCTTGAGTAGATCCAAGATATATTTTTGTTGAGAGATGAAAATCCCGGTTTTCGAGTGTGCAACTTCAATTCCTAGGAAGTACTTGAGCTTTCCTAGGTCTTTTATCTCGAACTCCCTGGATAAATAGTCTTTCAGTTTCTTGATCTCTTTAGCATCATCTCTTGTCACAATGATATCATCCACGTAGACTATTAAGGTAGTGATCTTCCCTTCCTTTGATCGTTTGATGAAGAGTGTATGATCTCCTAAGCTCTGCTTGAACTTCATCCTTTGCATGGCTTTGGTGAATCTTCCAAACCATGCCCTTGGAGACTGTTTCAGCCCATAGAGGGCTTTTCTTAACATGCACACATTGTTAGTTCCAAAGGCTTGATTGAATCCAGGTGGTGGTTCCATATAGGTTTCCTCCTCTAGATCACCATGTAAAAAAGCATTTTTTACATCAAATTGCTGTAAAGTCCAATTAAGATTGACTGCCAGGGATAATAATATCCGAATGGTGTTTAGTTTTGCCACAGGTGCAAACGTTTCTACATAGTCTACCCCATATGTCTGAGTATAGCCTTTGGCAACAAGCCTGGCTTTATATCTCTCAAGTGTCCCATATGCATTAAAGTATACTTTACTGTGAACACCCACTTTCACCCAATTAATTTTTTTCCTTTAGGCAACTCAACAATTTTCCAAGTTTTATTTTTTTCAAGTGTTCTCATTTCCCCAATCATAGCTTTTTTCCACTCCCCACTTCTAAGTGCTTCTTGAGTAGTTTTTGGAATCTCAATAGCATTTAACTCGGTGAGAAAGGCTCTATGTGATGGAGAAAGATTGGTAAATGAGATGAAATTGGCTATAGGATGTTGTGTGCATTTTCGTGTTCCTTTTCTGAGTGCAATAGGCAGATAAAGATCATGGAATTCTTGTGGTAAGGGATCAGTTTTGTTACCTGCTTTTAGAGCTTGATCTTGCACGAGTTCTTATGGTGTGGCCATCACCGGTTCAGGATTAGGCTTCCTTCTCGAGTACACTTGCAATGGAGACATTGGATGGTTATTTACTTGACGAGAATGGACTGGACTTGTTTAGATTTTCATGGGTAGGACTTGAACTTGAATGATCACGACTTGGACTGACAAAAGGATCTTGGGCTGGAGGATCTCGGGCTGGACTGAGAAGAGGGGTTGAATTATTTGGAGGATTTGAGATTGTTTCTCGGGTAGGACTTGAGCTAAGATCAAAAGTGAGAAAATTTAAGTCCGAATTGTCTTCTAACCTAGCCTCCCTCGGAAGACAAGTTTGATCATAGAACCCTTGATTTTCAGTGAAAGTGACATCTTTTGATATGTAGAATTTTCTAGTATTTGAGTGATAACACTTATACCCTTTCTGTGTTGAGGAATATCCTAAGAAAATTGACTTTAAGGCTCTTGGATCAAGTTTACTATTTCGGTCTTTTCGCTGAATGTGAACATAGGCAATGCAACCAAAAATTCATAAGGGAAGTTGTGAGTGTTTTATATGAGGAAATGATTCTGACAATACGTCAATGGGAGACTTGTTTTGTAACACTCTACTGGGTAATCGATTAATGAGATACGTGGCTGTTAAAACGGCTTCCCCCAGTAAAATTTAGGAACATTTTTCTCAAACAATAGAGCGCGAGTAACCTCTAGAAGATGGCGATTTTTTCTTTCTAGAACCCCATTTTGTTCTGGGGTGTCGACACAAGAAGACTCATGAATTATGCCATGTGTTTGAAGGAATGGTGACATCACTTGATTAAAGTATTCTCTCCCATTATCAGAACGAATATACCTAATGTAAATCCCAAATTGTGTAATAATCATTTTATGAAATATGGGAAAAATAACACTCACATCGGATTTATTTTTCATCAAGAAAAGCCAAGTAGTTCGAGAATAATCATCTATAAAGGAAACAAACCAATGAGCCCCATTAATATTTGAAATTCTAGATGGTCCCCAAACATCTGTATAGACTAAAGAAAAGGTTCAGATGATCTTGAATTATTCAAAGGATAGGAAATTCTATGGTGCTTGGCCATTTGACACACTTCACAATGAAACTCATTGACATTTATTTTCTGAAACAGCAAAGGAAGCATAGTTTTTAACAGTGAAAAAGATGGATGACCCATTTGAGCATGATGGAGCCAAATCTGAGCTCTTCTTGTAGATTGATTTTCAGATATGTAAGACTGAGGAATATAACCGTTTTTATTGCCACCATCACTCGTGCCTAGATAGTAAAGTCCCCCATGTTCCTTAGCACACCCAATCTTCTTCCCCATGATCCGATCCTGAAATACATATTGTTTAGGATAAAATGTTACAGAACAGTTCAGGTCAGATGTGAGCTTTTGAATAGATAGTAGATTAAAAGACAATTTAGGAACATGAAGGACAAATTTCAAAGGCAGTGATGGTGTGGTTTTTATAATCCCTTTTCCAGCAATAGTTACCAAAGTTCCATTTTTATTTTTTGGTTACCAGGACATGGGGTGTAGGATGAAAAATGGTTTGAGGAGTTTGTCATATGGTCGGTTGCACCTGAGTCTACTAGCCAGATTCCATTATAGTCGCTCTTTGAATCACTTAGAGGATGGGTCATAGAATACTTACCTGATTGGGCCATGGAGCACGACCCCACCGGTTTATCCATTGTTGTTAGGAAACTGCGGAGGTTTTCAATCTCTTCTCGATTGAATCCACTCAATTTTTGAGTTGCAGCAGTTGCATCTTTTTCCTATGCATGAACAACATTGGCTTGATAGTTCCGAGGCTGAAATTTCATTTGGGAATTATTTCTGGGTGGTTTTCCATGCAGCTTCCAACAAATGTCCTTAGTGTGTCCCGTTTTCTTGCAGTAGTTGCAGAACGAACCATCTCTATTGTTTGTTGATTTGTTGAATGACCTGTTCTCTGTCCGGTTGGTGTTCTGTTGTGAGTTTTGAGGGGCAGTAGCAGCAACAGTAGGAACCGAGACAGCTGCAGTAGGAACTGAGACAATTAAGGCTGAGCTCTCACTTGGTGGAGTTTCAAGCATGATGCCTCTCCTTCCTTCTTCACCTCGGATAGTAGAGAAGACTTCACTCAGGGTTGGCAGAGAATCCTTGCCAAGTATTTGCACACGAACTTGGTCATATTCAACATTCAAGCCAGCCAAGAACTCGTAAACCCCTTCTCCTTCAACAAATTTTAGCATCATTGCAGCATCTTCGCTGCACTTCATCTTAAAGTTTTGGTAGTAATCGAGTTCAATCCACAAATTTTGCATCTTGTTATAATAAGTAGTGACCGAGAGATTACCTTACTTGGTTGAGTGAATTTGTGTCTTAATTTCATAGACTAAGGCTGCATCACGAACCTTTGAATAGGTCTGCTTCACAGTATCCCAGATGTCTTTTGATGTGGGCAGGAACATAAGGTTGCCACTAATCTCGGGCTGCATCGAGTTCCAAAGTCATGTCATGATTGACGAGTCATCTACATCCCAAGCCTCAAACTTTGGATCATCCTCCTTCGGTATAGGGCCTGTCAAGCGACTCAATTTGCCTTTTCCTTTAAGGAAGGTTCTAACTAGTTGGGACCACACTAGATATTTTCGGCCGCTGAGTTTAAAGGAGAGTTGCAGGTTTTGGTATTCACCTATTTGTGGCTGGGAAATTTGGGTTGAATCAGGGTTTAGGTCGACATTTGTGGTATTGTTACCGGTTTCAGAGATTTCTTACATTTTTCTGGGTGATTAAAGGCTAAAGAAGAAATGACAGTGAACAGTTTTTTTTTCTCTCAGCAGAAAATCGTGTAAGGCTCTGATACCATGAACAAAAACGTTCTTACTGTATGTCTTATTCATTGAGGAAAAGCTTACAGCTATTTATAGAGTATAGAGTATTTTAGTATACAACCTATAACAGGAAATTCTTAATTACAAAAGAATCAAGGAATTACTTTCTGAAATTGACAGCTAACTATCCTATCACTTACAGCTTGCATTGACTCAATAAATCAGGAAACCATCCCTAAGAATCCTACCATTGACTAGACAAATCAGGGAATGATTTCCCTGAGAATCAGAGGACAAATCAGGGAATGATTTCCCTGATAATTTGAGTCAACGAATCTTGACAGATTCGTCAACAATATGTTTCTTTGGATGTGCTTTAAAGTTAAATATGAAATCAAGGATGACATTTTTGTCAAAAGTTGCTTACCCTGTTGGAACATACCACTGGCCAACAACTTAGCCTTTAGGAGAACTCATAATTTAGCATGATTTAAACTTATTCTCACATTTCTTTCTCAAATTATTTGTTAAAATATAGAACTATTGTTAGCCTACCTCCTAAGAGCTTAAGCTTTTGGGATCGATTGGTAAACTAACATGGTATTAGAGCGGGGGATCCTGAGTTGAAACTCCTATAATTGCACTCTTTATTCTCATTTAAATTGTCATCACGTGTTGGGTCTTTAATATATTCCGGGCTTGCTATCAAATATTCACGTGTTGGGCTTTCCAATTAATTTACCTACACGATTGCCCATTGTCCAGCCCACATGTGAGGGGGAGTGTTAAAATATAAAACTATTGTTAGCCCACCTCCTAATAGCTTAAGCTTTTAGGATGCATTGGTAAACTAACATTATTATTATTATTATTATTATATAATGCTTTAATAAAAACAAGTTGTGGATGTTTTCATTTGTTACAGATTCAAGCTCATATTGGGCCACTTGCAGCTGGACAACCAGCTTCCTCTAACTTTGATGCCCGTGCTGTTGGCACCTGAAGCCACCTCTAGCATGCACCAACAAGTGTTCAAAACGACCATCACAATGCGTAATGAGAATATTGATGGGATCCAGGTCTTCCCGTATGTGTATATAAGGGTAATGCTATGTAAACACTGTATTTTTACAATTTTAATGGAAAGTGAAACCCTTTTTTTTTTTTTTTTGGTCCAAATTCTTACATGATAATTTGCATGCAAACGACAAAGGATTTAAAAGCTATGTTGACATCATAGGTAACGGAAACTACTTGGAGGCTCAATATTCATGAACCAATAATTTGGGCTTTTGTGGACTTCTACAATAATCTCCATTTAGACCGTCTCCCCAAAAGTTCTAGCGTCAAAGACGTTGATCCAGAAATACGTATCAGGTAAGTATTTTGCCCCTTTCTTCGTCAATTGTTTGTCATCTTAGAAAAGACTTGTGGAGTTATAATTTTTGTTTGCAGATTAATCCGTATAGATGCACAAGGTGTCGCTAGGTTTATGCAATAATATTCTAGCATTTAAATCTATGGGCCTATGGCATCAAATTTTTGTTGTCTTTATTCTTTTCTCCCTGATGGTTGCTTTCGTCTGCTTCCTTGTAAAATACCAAAAGATTTGTTTTATACACTGATCATCTAAAACTTGCTCGTTATAAACCATCCAATACTTGCTCTGTGCTTTCTGAACATCTGTAGAAAAAGAGTGCCTGAATCAGAGTGAAAAATGCCCTGTCTGCAAATTTCATTTCTTTCTTTTTGAAGGGTATTAGTTTCATTATAGATCTCTCTCTCTCTCTCTCTCTCTCTCTCTCTCTCTTTTCGTGTGACAGTATGATTATGTAGGCATATTTAATACGCCATCAGGTTCTAGTTAAATCATTCCTTACTCCTTGATGTTGATTGCATCAAGCTTATGGTGCTGAGGTTAGAATCTGCTGAAGACTATGCAATCAGTTACATGCACAAATAGGGGGAAAATACACGTTTCAGCCTGGAAGTACTGTGCCAACTTGTGATTTTACTTTTTAGTAAAATAATTGTCGATTGATGATAGTATGTTACCTTTTCTTTCAGCTTAATAGATGTTTCGGAAGTAAGGATGAAGTTGTCACTGGAGACAGAACCATCCCAGAGACCTCATGGAGTTCTAGGAGTGTGGAGCCCTATACTATCAGCTGTTGGAAATGCATTCAAGATCCAGGTCAGTCTCAATATTATATTATAATAGCTTTGTCATTGGATGATATCTTTGTACAAACCCAAGTTGTGCTCCCTATCTACAGTTGAAATTTTGAGAATACACCATTTTGACAGGTTGAACACACCAAAATGTTTCTCATTTATAATTCAAAATCTAATTGTCCTACAACGTGATGAAGATACATAGCATAAGACTTGCATCTCCAATTGAACTAGGACGAGAAGTCTAGAACTCCTTTGAAAGCTTTTAGGTAGACACACATACATAGGAGTCTGTCTAAACTAAACCCACGTTCCACAGTTAGGCCCATACTACTAATGCGCATATTATTGGAACATCCTTGATCAAGTAAACTTTCAAAAGCCTAATAAAAACTGTTAACATTACAAAGCAAAACCAAGGATGCTAGTGATTTGGACAAAAAGTCATCTTGGGGATTGTAATACTCATGAATTCAACCAAGGATTATTGCATCATTTAGTAGTACAATTGCAACAGTTTCTGTTACCAATAGACATGTAGAACAGAATTTAGGATATATTGCTGATGCATCAAAGACCCTGCATTCCTTATTACTATACTGATATAAATATATGTTGCAAAACGAGTCGGCTCCCTTGTGTTTCAAGTGCAATATTGATTTAAACTTACTGCCATAAGTGACATTCCACTCCCTTAATTCAGGTGCATCTGAGAAGGGTGATGCATAAAGACAGATTTATGCGGAGAAGTTCTATTGCTTCTGCTATTGGTAACCGTGTTTGGAGGGATTTGATCCATAATCCTTTACATTTGATATTCTCAGTAGATGTACTTGGTATGACAAGTTCAACATTAGCTTCTCTTAGTAAAGGGTTTGCAGAGCTTTCAACTGATGGACAATTTTTGCAGCTACGTTCAAAGCAGGTTAGTTCTCTTAATCTCTACTACAGTATCATTAATGGATATATTTTTGAAATCTGAATCTAACTTTAAGATGAAATTAGGTGTGGTCAAGGAGAATTACTGGAGTGGGTGACGGAATTATTCAAGGAACGGAAGCTCTTGCACAAGGTGTTGCTTTTGGGGTCACTGGAGTAGTAAAAAAGCCCATGGAGAGTGCCAGACAGAATGGTTTGATAGGTTTTGCTCATGGACTTGGGCAAGCTTTTTTGGGAGTTATTGCACAACCAATGAGTGGAGCTTTAGATTTCTTCTCATTGACTGTTGATGGGATTGGTGCGAGTTGTTCTAAATGCTTGGAGGTTTTGAGTAGCAAAACCACGTTTGAAAGAGTCAGAAACCCCAGGGCTATTCATGCGGATGGTATACTGAGAGAATATTGTGAGAGAGAAGCTCTTGGCCAGGTACTTTTATGCCATACATATGAACATTGTGTGGGCAATGCTGGATCTTAGCGTAAAGAAATCATTAGGGGGAAAAAAGTGGGAGGAGGGAGAGAAAATGGAATGTGCTTTGCTAAGTAGCCTTTTGGAAAATTTGAATTTAACTTCAGTAAAGTACAGTTAGTTTCCTGGGGACAGGTGGGGGAGTTTCTTTTTTTCTTTCCTTTTCTTTTCTTTTTTTTTTTTGTTCGAGGATAAATGAGAGCTTGGTGGGATTAAAAGACTTATTTCCATGGTATTTTATTATGAGCCTGCTCTGATAATGCTGCAAGATATACTTTGATTCTTGGAGTGCGTTCATTCTCTTCCTTTCTCATGTTTTTTTTTTCGTTTGCCTGCTGTGTTCCTAGATGGTACTTTACCTAGCAGAAGCAAGTCGACGCTTTAGCTGTACGGATATATTCAAAGAGCCCTCAAAATTTGCGTTGTCTGATTATTATGAAGATCATTTCGTTGTGCCACACCAAAAGATTGCTCTGGTGACCAATAAACGTGTCATGCTGCTTCAGGTTTGTGAAGGAGTCTCAACCATAGATTTTTACCAATTTTTTCTCGTTGGAAATTCACTCTTCACTCTCTTGACTCACTCGTCACTCGCTTGACTTTTGCTTCTTAGTGCCAAGCTCTAGACAAGATGGATAAGAAACCTTGCAAAATCATGTGGGATGTGCCTTGGGAAGATCTTTTGGCTTTGGAGTTGACGAAAGCAGGTGGCAATCAGCCATCACACTTGATCCTCCATCTTAAAAATTTTAGGAGATCGGAAAATTTTGTCCGAATCATAAAGTGCAATCTTGGTGAAGAATCTGAAAGAAGTGAGCCCCAAGCTGTTAGGATCTGTTCAGTTGTCCGTAAGATGTGGAAAGCATACCAGTCTGACATGAAAAACCTAACTTTGAAGGTAAACTTTGTCTACGTGCTAGTTTCTTTCATATATTAATCTCTTCCTTCAAAAATAATTATGGCGCAATTCTCCTTTATTAGGTTCCGTCAAGCCAGAGATATGTGCATTTTGCTTGGAATGAAGCTGATGGGAGAGAACTGCGGAGATCAAATAAATCTATTGTTAGATCGAGAGAACTCTCATCACCCAGTGCTGCATCTGATGAGAGAAGATTTGTTCAACACAGTATTAACTTCACAAAGATTTGGAGCAGTGAACAAGAGTCAAAAGGTCGATGCACGTTGTGTAAAAAAAAGGTGCTTCAGATGCTTTAAACAAGTTCTTTTTGCATTATACTGGGAAATTCACATTATGCTGTGGTAATAATTGAAAATTATCTTACTTTAGGATTTGGAAGATGGTGGAATGTGTAGCATTTGGAGACCAATTTGTCCAGACGGGTAATTGCAAAGTTTTAATTTCTTTTTATCTTTTAAGGATGTACTGCACTTCCATCTTTTCTCATAAGTGGCTATATTATTGTGAGTGCCTTGCACTTATCTAACGATTTTTCAAGTTTAGACTTTTTTCATGAGCTGCATGACCACAAACTTTAGGATCAGGTTTTCTCTATCTGAAAATGCTAGTGACTCTTTATATTTTAATCAAACTGTCATATAACTTGAATGATATTATCCTCTTTTAGTATTAACCTTTACCATTGTTAATGAAATTATCCATTTGCTTGGTGCATTAACATTGTTAAGTTCGAAAAGCTCCCAATGACCTTTTGCTTATTGAACGAAAATGGAAACTGGAGTTAGCTCGTGGTTTTACTAATCCGTCATATCCTACGAAAAAGAGAATAAAAATAATGAAGAAATTATTGATTGCACTTTTTTTTCCCTGCTTTTACTATCTATTTGAGTATCCCACTTCTATACAAATATGGAATTCATAACGTAAATTGGTCACAGTGTTGCTCTCTCTTTGTTTACACAAGTAAAAGAATCTTTGCACAGCTTAAAAAAGAATTTTACAATTTTGAACTTTTGTTTTATTCCAAGATGCTGCTATGAGCACTTGTCGTTTTAATACTCAAATGTGGTTTGTTTACTTTCAGATTTGTATCAATAGGGGATATTGCTCGTGTTGGCAGCCATCCTCCAAATGTTGCTGCTGTTTATCGCAATGTTGACAGATTATTTGCACTTCCAATAGGTTATGACCTGGTAAGAAAAATCTCATTATTTATGTTAAAAGTATAAAATTATTGTTGACCCACCTCCTAATAGCTTAAGCTTTTGGGATGGATTGGTAACTAACATGGTATCAGAGCGGGAGGTCTTGAGTTCAAACCCCCGTAATTACACTCTTTATCCCTATTTAAATTGTCATCATATGTTGGGTCTTTAATATATCTCAGGCTTAAATATTCATGTGTTGGGCTTTCCAATTAATTTACCCACACAATTGCCCATTGTCCAGCCCACACGCGAGGGAGAGTGTTAAAGTATAAAATTATTGTTGGCCTACCTCCTAATAGCTTAAGCTTTTGGGATGGATTGGTAAACTAACCATTTAGAGATACAAGAATTACTGTCATATTAGTTATTATACTTGAGAAGTTATTATCCTTGGCTGCTTCTCGATTGTACTCCTGAAATCCAAAGGAACTTCATACTGCACTTCTGACACGTTAATAAAAACGGTTATTGTATAGTTTCTAATCGGCATCAAAATTCAGGAAAAGTTCACACACACACACCACTTCTCTCTCTTTTGGTTCCTTCTTATATTCTCTTGACCATTGTTTCTGACATTACCTTTACATTGTAATAACTTTCAATTAACATCCTTAGGACTACATTAGCAAAAACAATAGCTTTAGGACTCTGTTGCAACTATTTCTTACCCAAAAAAGATAAATAAAAAATAAAAAGTCCTGCTTGTTAGATACCATTTGTTCACACATCGTTACATGGTCCACACGTTGAGTTGATTTTGCGCTTGCTATAAAATTTGTCTAAGATGGCAGAGAGGGCATATCCATCGTTCATCTGCCCATCAAACAGACTACATGTCTGTCCGGGGATATGATGATGTTAATTAGTGAATATGATCGGATATTGAGCACATTACTAAAATGGCAGTGGCCTTCAAATTTTCTAGTGTGATTCTTTCTTCTTTTTCTCTCTCTTTTTTTTTTTTTTTGGTTACAAATTGGATACTAAAAATTACGATGAGCAGGTGTGGCGGAACTGCTTGGATGACTACGTGACCCCAGTATCGATATGGCATCCTCGGGCTCCAGAGGGATATGTATCTCCCGGTTGCATAGCTGTGGCAAGTTTTGAAGAGCCCGAACACGATGCGGTCTACTGTGTGGCTGAATCACTCGCAGAGGACACTGAATTTGAAGAGCAAAAGGTTTGGTCTGCTCCGGATTCTTACCCATGGGCATGCCATATCTATCAAATCAAAAGCGATGCTCTCCACTTCGTTGCTCTCAGGAAAAGCAAGGAAGATTCCGGCTGGAAGCCTGCACGGGTTCATGACGACCCACAGCCTCTGTTGGAATCATTGAAAGCTCAATGAACTACATAGCGGTGTCTAGATGACTCCATTTCTTCTCCTCTTTCTTCTTTTTGTGCTATTAGGCCCCTTTCATTTTGATTGATGATGAAAGATCTTTGCTGAACGCGTTTTGGTTGATACTTTCTTTAATCTGTAGAGTGTCTATAGTAGCTTTCTGTTGTCATAATCGTTGTCGGTATGGTTTGGAGTAGAAAATTTTTGGACCTCACTATGGCTTATGATTTATGAACCATATATAGAAAATCTGCAGTTCTTTTGAAAATACTCTTTACATTTGATACACAGGAATTGTATAGACAATATTTTGAGTAGAGAAAAAGTTGGAAGTTGTTTTGGCTGCAAACGTTTTAGTATTTCTGTATTCCTGTTTTTTTATTTCCTTAAATGAAACGAACAATAAAAGGACTACAATTAGATAAGAATGCACAGTTTTCTACCCTGAACGAAAACATGTTATGTAGAGGCGAAAGTAACTTTTTTGCTTCCAAGTTCTTTGGCTCTCGATTTCTTGGGTTTGGAAAAAAAAAAAATAACAATAATAATATAGAAAGAAAGAAGAAAAAGTTATGCCTATGTATTAAGTTTGCTCACCTGTAGTCTTGTTGGAAGAGATACTGGGTTGTTAAAGAACTACAATGTTGCAATTCTTGAAATTTGTCATGATAAGCTAAAAATTCGGCTTATTAATAAATAAACAACCAAATATCAAACTAAATATGCCAAGTATAATGTTATACTCGAGAATTTTTTTTTTTAATTTCAATATTAACGTTGAAAATATTTTGGTATTGTATTAAAAATGCACTTACACTAAAAAATTAATAATAATAATGCTGGAACATTAACTCTGACCTAGTATTATTATACAGCGCTCTGTGGAGCTTAACTTTTAAAGACATATAGCCCACAAAGAGATGGGTCCCATCACTTTGTTTTTGTGAGTCGTGGCTTCACGAAGTTTATCACCGATTTAATTTTAATTTTTGTGTATTAACTGATATGATAAATAAATTATTATTTTTATATTAATAAATATTTAAAATATTATCACGTTAATTAATAATAAGTGATATATTTATGAAAATATTTACGCACACTATTCTTTTAAAGTGGAATGAACAGAAGCGATTCTCAAATTCTAACTATTCTTTAAAAGAAAAGATTTTCTCCAGTGTTTTTTACTTTTTTAAAAACACATTATTTACTTTTTTAACTATTAAATTTATATTAAAATTTATCTAAGTTATATATTTTTTTAATTTTATATAATTTAAACTAGATTAAACGGTTAAAAAACCAAAAAAATCCTGGTGTTCTTAAAAAAACACGGAGAAACTCAAAAAGAAAAAATCAAAATCAAAATAAACATATTGTGAAGTGGAGATTCGTAGAATCATGCCAACTAGGATAAAAAGAGTCAAAACACGTACGGACAAACGGCACTACAGTGTCTGTGAACACGTGTCAATACATGACTCGCCCAATTTGTCGGCATGCCCGCCACTTCTTCCATCCATCATTTTATTCAACCACATTCATTGCCGCCTTCCCCGCCACTTCCTCCATCCATCATTTTATTCAACCACATTCATCTTCATTCAATAATTGCGATCTTCCCATTATCCAAAAAAAAAAAACCAACTCCACTCCTCTCTCTTCTCTCTCTCTCTCTCTCTAGAACCAGAGAATGGACGGTCTGATCAAGGGCTTGATCGACGTGGCGCTCGGTCAGGGCGACGACCAGCGCGATGAGTCGGGGCCACAGTCTCGTGATGAACGGTCCAGATCCACTTGGGCCGAGGTTGGTTGGCTTGATCTGTGATCTTTGTTTCAACTTCTCTGATTTTACGGTTTTGATCGTGCTTTGATCGATTGCGCAGGTGGTGTCGAGTGAGCAGGATAATGACGAGCAGAGCAGTGATCGACGCTCTCATGTATACGGCCGGAACCAGTGGAGTGGCGAGGTCTGGATTGGATTGGATTGGATTGAATTGATTTGATTTGATTAATATCCAGTAAAGAATGAGATTTCATCGGAATTGAAGCGATTCTGTCATTGTTATTTGGTATGCAGGAGCAGAGTCATTACGGGCGCGATGAGTGGCAGAATGTCGATTCAAGACCTTCACGGCGAAATGAAAGGGTTAGTTCGTTTTTCTTCGTTTGGTAATTGTGTTCTTGTGCTCATTTTTTCTTTTTCCCGTGTAATTAGATTGGTCATTACGAGGTTTTTCGCTAGTTTTCAGTTGGAGTAATTGGATATGTCGTTATGAGGTTTTAAGTTAATCAGTGTAGACAAATTTCATAAATTTAGGATCTCATTTGTAATGATGTATATCTGCTGGGTATATCCGTTACTCCAAAGAAAAGAAGCCTCTATCAAAAGTTTTAGGTAGGAAAGATACAGAAAATAGCCAAAGGAAAACATATGCCTTAGAAGCCTTTTCCATGTCACTTTTTTGACATTGGAATTTCACCCAGCATATTGATTCCAATCTGTCTTCTCTTGGGAATAAATTCAACAGTAGTTGATCAGAAAAAAAAAAAAAATCAAAATTAGTTACTAGAACTCTTGTGACAATAGAATGCCCATTATGATCATAATACGCATGATCAGATCAGACAGGCTGCCATGAGAAGAGTTCCATTGTTATGCCAATTATTTGACCTTGGAGTGTTATCCAATTATTTTGACATCAGTCATGAGGAACTCTCATTAGCCTAAGTCATGAGGAACTCTCAATGGTTTCAGAGTCACAAAAAGATAGATTGGTATGATTGGCTTGACGAGAATTCTAAGTTTTCTCGTCTCACTTTTTTATGATTTTTTTTTTTTTTTTCATTTGGGTATTAAATCCAGATTCCACATGAGGAGTACGAAAAGGGTGGAGATATTTATGGGCAAAGTCGTTATGAGCAAAGCCGTTATGAGCAAAGCCATTGGAGTAGAAAGGTTTATTTTTCATTAGTGGCTTATGAACATTAATCTAGGGGAATCTAATATGAATTGTGTACTCATTTTTTTGTTCTCTCCACTATTCATATAGGAGGATGATGAAAACAGCACTGATGGTTGGGAGACTGTTGGCAAAAAGCACCCAAGGCGACCACACAAGGTTTGTTCTTCCTCTATGTATATTTTTATCCAGACATGTGATTTGGTGATGGGATGGTCTCTACCTTAATCATTCTGATTGGATTTTTTTTTTGAAACTGTATTTCGTTTTAGCAGACAATGAATCAAAATAACATTTACTTAGCTGCACGTGTTGGTTTAGTAGATAACTGGGCACATAAAAACTATCCTGCTTCCACAACTTTTGCATATGACTGTCCTGTTGAATGAGCAACAAAGTGAAATGCAGATTGTATGTAGTTAAAAGTGTGTACCTTATATATGAGCATGCACTACTAATCACAAATCAAAAGGTTCAGAAGGATAACTGGAATGGATACAAACGGCCACCCAGTGAGCAACAATACTCCGATGAGGTTGAAATTGGTTCCCGTGTTGAACCTACAGAAGAAGAGCTTGCTGACCTCTCACAAGCATGCAACAAACTATGGGAACTTGATACAAACCGTCTGGTAGCTGGCAAGGACTATGAAATTGACTGTGGTGAAGGAAAAAAGGTCTTCCAGAAGGAAGATATGGCGGGAGGGAGCTTATTTAACTGGCTGAATGAAGACGTATTCAGGAAGCCTACATTTTCTCGTTTCTGTTCTCTTCTAGATAATTACAATCCAAATGAAGGATGCAAAGAAGTTGTCACGTCTGAAGAGAGACAAGAGCAAGCTGCATTCATTGAAGAAATCAGCAGAACTGCACCCATTAAATATCTTCACAAGTACCTTTCATCAAAAGGCATTGTATCTGAAAACCTTCAAGATTTTAAGAGAACGATGACAAGTCTTTGGTTTGACCTCTATGGCCGAGGTGGTACCTCCGGTTCGTCTTCTGCTTTCGAACATGTTTTTGTTGGAGAAGTCAAGCAACGTAATGAACAAGAGATCTGTGGTTTCCATAATTGGCTTCAGGTATATTTTTCTACTTCCTATATTATGCATGCAGTCTTCTGAAGCATGAATCCTGCTCCTTGTCCCCCGCACTCAAAGCAATAGACACAAATACAAAGAGCCCCAAAAATAGAATGCTAGTGGGGTCAAATCCTGTTATATCATTACTCTGTTAAAAGCTGCATTGAAACTTCACCTATCAGTTCATTTGTTGTTCTACAGAGTATACTGTGTTGTCTAGCCATGCAGTTTAGAACCTTTTTTTAAAAACTGCACAAAGAGCAAGATGCCATTTCTTTCCTTTTCTTTTCTTTGGGAGGCAATTGGATATCATCTCTTTTTTTCATATTTTTTAATTTATATTATTATTTGAGTGAAGAATTTATGTCTTCTTGTTACTTTTCCTCCCAGTTTTACCTTGAAGAAGCAAAAGGAAGGGTCGACTATCAAGGTTATATTTTCCCTCGACGATGTGGGCAAGCTGTAAGTGACTTTGAATTTTCCTTCGCCTTATGCATTTTGCATTACATTATAAGCACATTATGTATGCACTATGCATGTATGTGTTTCTAGCAAGAAGGGTATTTTTGTTTCCTGTTATCTTATTTCTTTTATCTTTTTGAGCTTGAGAATGATTCTTTGCAGCCTTCCTAAAGTTTTCTTCACTAATCTGCAGCCAGACTCTGAAACCCAGTTGCTCACTATCCAGTTTGAGTGGAATGGTCTTCTGAAATCCGTGTCCAGCACTTTGGTTGGAGTCAGCCCAGAATTTGAAATTGCATTGTACACCCTGTGTTTCTATGTTGGTGGAGAGGACAACCATGTTCAGTTGGGTCCATACTCGGTAAATATCAAATGCTATCACCTCGGGGACAAAATCGGGTCAGCATTTCCTGTATCGGAGTGTTGAGTTCAGGTAATCCAGATTTGTTCTATGATAACTGAGTTGACGTATCGAGGATATAAAATTGCACTGTAAATGTAGAAACCCTGAAATATACATTTGGCAGCGACAATTTTATTTATCAAATCACAATGTGTTTTAAGATTTAAATGATTTAATCCTATGTAACTGCAGAAACTTATCCTGATATGTAACAGTATTTGTGTGTCGTATTTCTTTGTTATGCTTTGACTGTAGAAACAATTGACTAGGAGTCTTCCTTGCTCGTCTGTATTCTTATCCCCTTATCCCACAAAATATTCATTGTAGGCTTGTAGCTTATTCTTATCATTCTTCCCAAGGAAAGCCTGGAATCCCATTAGGATATACCCATATGCCATTTTTGGCTGCAGGTCACTAGTGTCGTTTGTAGGATATTATGCACGTGGGAATTAGCCTTTCTCGTGCCTTTACTTGTATCAATTAAAATGCCTTAGTTTTAGGGACGATTTTAAATAACAGATAGTTCTCTTTTATGTAAGCAAATATTCTGCAGTTTTAGACGCTATCTTATTTTTTAAAACTAGAGTGTACAAGTGGGAAATAGACGTGAAAGTGATAGGTGCATAAGCTTTTGTTAACAGTTCGTGTTTCATCAAAATATCAAGTGCTGGCCGATAAGCAAACGACTATAATTTTGTGAAAATATCTTACTTTGGAAGATATTTTCTCTCCCCTTTTTTTCTTTAATTTGGGTAAACAATTTTGAAGATATTTACAAGAGAAGAGATTGGCACGTATGTAGGGGATGGCAATGGGGTGGTCTTCTCGCCACCCGCCCAGCGAACAAAAAACCCTCACGTTTCCCATCCCCTTAACGCGTATAAGCTGGCAGGTTACAGGAAGGGGAGTACTCGCGGTGCTCCACATGACAATGACAATGAGGCAATAGTGCTAACACTAACACTGCTCATGAAATAAGAGGATAATTTCCAAGACTTCTTTAACAAATTGACTTAATACACAAGGAAAACAACGAACTTTTAATAGAAGCTCAAGCAAAAGCTTTCGCCACAGTCAGATAAATTTATATCTTTGAAATGATATAAATAATGAAACAAAAATTTCTCGGACACCAAAATAGGTGTTCTTCCTTTTTCTTTTTTCTTCTCCGGCTGAATCCCAGAATCCAACAGTATATGTTTCTTATTTGTAAGGAGGGAGGAATAACCACATCTAAATTATTAAATAAATGAATAACCAATTACGCTGAGTAGATTTGTCTGCGGGCTTGAAAAGAACAAGTCGCAGCAATGGAGAACCACAAGCAAATTAGAAGAGGGAAAATACTTGTAAACTAGTGGGGGGACCTCAGCATTTCACAGCCAGAAAGTAACACCTTTTTTTGTGTTGCGACTTGCAAGTGCAAAACCAGAAAGCAAATGGGGCCGACATCCCCCTCCTTCCATTTGTCCACATGCCACTTCCCAAAACTCCTCCCAATATTTGCTACAATATTGATGATGATTTCAAATTTTTCTTCAGGAATATTCTCAAGCACAGAGATAGAAATAGAGACCTATATCTATCAAAGAAAGTTGATCCCACCTCGATCACATTTGAATTCAAATACTGTATCTTCACATGTGAGAGTGAGACTAGGGCTCCGTTCATTTCACCAATTCGAGTTTAAAATTTAAGTTTTACTACAGTAAAAAGTTCTCAGAAACAGTCACATCTAACTTTTTCATTACAGTTAAAAACTCTCACATAAAGTCACATCTTAACTCGAATCAATGAACTAAACGGGCCCTAGATTAGCCAATATGCAAGTTCCCACTTTTTTTCCCTTTTTTGGCATGAATGGTCCCTACTATGATCTTATTAAATTATACACTTAAAATGCCATCATTTTCTAAGTTCAAAAAGAAAACCATAAGAGAGCCTAATAAAAGTTACTTGGAGCACTTTTTCTTCTTTATCACTTCCTATTGCAAGTTTTATTTGATTTTTTAGTCGATTTTAAGAAAATCCCATATCATTGCCATTTCTATGCATATCCCTTTTTCACTTTATTTTTCCTTCCTTTGCTTGTATATGCATGTTTGTTGCTTCTTGTGAGGAGTCTTCTCATAGATTAAGAGTGAACGAAATAAAGAGAGTTTGGAGTAGATAAGGTCAGATAAGCACCGCAAAAAAGTTATAATGGGTAGGGCTAAAAATAAAACACGGCACAGCTAAGTTCAACGAGTCTCTCCTGAATAAATCCCAAAGCATCAACATCAACCAGCCAGAGATTCGGAATTATCTTTTTCTACACCAAGGACCCCGCCACTTTGATTAACACTATTTCAAGAGTTTGAACAACTAATATTTTCTCCTCAGAAATGCACTTTGCCGTGCTTATTACTGCCAACTCATAGAAAAATTAATGATACTACACCTTTTCATCCACACTAAGTATAAATATTAAGAAAAAACATGCAGAGATAGAGGTGGTCCAAAGTGTTTGGAAATAATAGTCTCAACAAAAATGCTTTCATGCTTAAAATTTCTGATATAGGCATCCTTCCTTTGAATGACACAATAAAAGGATTGCAAATATAGTAGATCCATTTTTTTTGGGGGGGATGTCTCATGCGACTTAATTTCAACCGTTGGATGACGAAAAGAAACAATCCGAGCCTTTTAAATTTTTTGGTTGAAAGCTGACAAATTTTTTTTTTTTTTTTAATTCAAGCCGAATGTAAGAAAACGATCTTCTAAAGTATAATAAGATATGCATGTGCAGGGTGAAGTACACCTGCTATGCCTGCCCAGAATCACCTAAGACCTAGAACTAGAATTTCATAGTGACGAAAGTGAAAACCTGCACAATATTTCAGTCAATCACCTTGCGTGTATTTGTGGCAGGTGTATTTTTGTATGTGTATTTAGGTAGGATATTGGGATCTTAAACTGACAAACAATTCAGATGTGACACTCGCAACTGTCCTTGGTGTAAACATATTTGAAACATAAAATCAGGATCACAAGATGAACTATGCACAACTTTCTGGAGTAGTAAAATAAGAGATGCTTTGTTTATAGCTTAGTAAATTATATAATCCAACGGCCATTGAGAAGGTGATATACGACACAAGAACCGACATTTCACAGCTGTGACACCAGTTCTTCTGCTTCGAACGACAAAACAAAGGGAATACCTAGAGAACGAACAATGTGCAAAATCACTATGGCATACAATGCAAGTGTATTTTGTTCAAGTCATCTAGAAAGTGAAATGCGAGAAAATTGAAGACAAAGACTTGAGTTACAACCACATGATTTCCCAACTGAGAGGAGCCTCCAGTCCTCCTTATCCGAAAACAACCGAGACCAAGAAATTTAAAAAAAAAATTCTGGGATTTTTATGATCCACATAAATACAATGAACAAGAAAGAAAATAATCCAAATAAAACCAAGCTTATTTTGGTGGGGTTTGGTATATGGTGGAAAAACAAAACCACCCATTAGTTATCACACCAAGACTGATAAATATATACAGGTAGACTTGGAAAGGAATTGTAGTTACAACTTACAGTTAAGTAAATTTTCTTTCCTCATTTTCAATTGATCTTCCAATTTGATGATGTCGTTTTCTAGTTCAAATCTTTTAAAAATTTTCACCTTTGGACGTTGTAGAACTTATGTCAGACTGCAGCCTCATGCATAAATATTATTTCAGTAAGTTTTTATGCAGTCATCCAAAAAGAAAAAGAAAATCTAAATTTAAGAACTCAACTTTTATGCATTAAAAAAACAAACTTAAACCTTTTGATCAGGACAGGTACAGTTAACAAGAAAGCATATTCAAAATATCCGAAGGGTATGCATCAGCTCAAGATATTTATTATTTTTCTGATTAAAGTATGGCATTCTTCAAGTTCAAGTGTTACAAAAGACACCAAATAGGCTGAAGGTACAACTGAATCGTGAAAAGTCTACTAAATTGATTAAGATGTTATATTCTTACCACGAACTCTGTTAAGATTCTTCATTTTATTTTTTCAACCAAGAATAAGTAATGAACACCGTTAAAATAATATGTTTGTTTGTGTGTATACACATATATAAATATAGTTTCAAAAATTACAAAGGAAAGTAAAATATGAGTTGGCAGATTATGATAAGAAGTAAGAAGAAAGAATGGTAAAGGTCTAACCGCGTAGTGATAATACAATGAAAAGGTAAGCTGACCAATTTTGATCTTTTGCACTTTTTCTCTTTTAAACCAGGGCCCACCATTCTTGTCTTTTTCAAAAACCTGAAGTTGAGCTTCTGTCTATAAATAAACACATTACACCTTCATCCATTTCCCACTTTTATCTCCTCTCTTTTTCCCTCCAGACTCAGAACGCAGAGAAAAAAAATGGCTTTAACATTACGTTCGTCAAATTATTTCCTCAATCTCAAGGACACCAAGGGCCTGAAAACTCCTGATGACTTATCTGGCACAGTTTGCTTTGCGCAAATCAAGCCTTCATGTCGTCTCCGAGCAACAAAGAGTTCAATGAAAGAGGCACAGATCTCCCATGAGAAGAACTTCACTCCTGAAGGAGTGAGGAGAGAGAAACTCCATGTACTTTCTAGTTCTCACTCTCCAAAGAATGACTCAAGAGTGCCTGTTTTTGTGATGCTGCCACTTGACACACTGACTCTTGGAGGCAACTTGAACAAGCCAAGAGCCATGAATGCTAGCTTGATGGCCTTGAAAGCCGCAGGAGTGGAAGGGGTCATGGTTGATGCTTGGTGGGGTTTGGTGGAGAAAGATGGACCTCTCAAGTACAACTGGGAAGGCTACGCCGAGCTCGTTCAGATGGTTGAAAAGCATGGCTTGAAGCTCCAATTTGTCATGTCCTTTCATCAGTGTGGAGGCAACGTTGGAGACTCCTGCAGGTAGTCTCAAAAAAGTTTGCAAAATTTGCTATCTCAACACGTTTGTATAGTCAATTTGATTAGACTCGAAATTTAATTAGTTAAAAGGACAAAACTATTTATCATCACTAGTGATTGAAGACTAATAAAGACATATTGTTAGTCCTAATCATACAACCGTGTGATTAGATTAGAAAAGTGTTTAGCACCAATAGTCATGTTCAACTACTTTTCTATTTTCAGTGGCAAAATAGAGTTGTTTTGACTAACAAAATTTTGCAATATTTACCCTTTCCGCAGTCAATGTCCTTAAACATGAAAATTGATTAGAAGGGTACATTGGTACTGTGTTATTATCTTGTTATATATATGATTTGAAGAAACATATGGAGTTGCTTTCGAAACAATTTTATTAGCAAATGAGACAACTGGTGATAAATATTGTATTTGATTTTCAGCATTCCTCTACCTCCATGGGTGCTTGAAGAAATCAGCAAGAATCCTGATCTTGTGTACACAGACAGATTGGGAAGGCGAAACCCGGAATACATTTCCTTGGGTTGTGATTCATTGCCTGTTCTTAGAGGAAGAACTCCTATTCAGGTCTACACTGATTACATGAGGAGCTTCCGTGAGAGATTCAGAGATTTCTTGGGTGATGTTATTGTGGTAAGTTTTTTATTTATCCATTAACTCCTGTTCGAAACTAAAATGCACCCCTTGATTAGTAATGACTTTTTGGTCTAAGGATTCACCTAAGAGTAGGAAAACAAAAAACAATTGTGAGAACTTGGGGGTTGGGAGGACCACTTTGACAAAATGGAATTTGAATTGGTGTAAAAGTCAAATAAAGAAAAAAGAAAATCTTTTCCGAGTGCCGTGCGTGTAAAGATTCGGAAGTCGTTTTCATCTTTTAAAATAGAAAACGTAGAAAGAAGAGGAACTTTGAAAATTTGATGTTAGATGTGTTACCTAAAACTCAAGGCAGTACTTATTGGAAATTTGGGGGACCCAAAATGTAAGACTTTTTTCCTTTTTGCTTTCCAAGTAGGAATCATGAATCCGATAGAGGACTTTAAAGAGCAGAGAATTTTTCTACGTGTTTTTTCTTCGTTCCTTTTTTTTTCTTTTCTTTTTCTTTTTACTGTAAAGATCAGATTTTTTTCGTGGAGAGGAACACTTTCAGGACACAATAAAATATGCTAGTGCTAGGAGACAAAAGGAAGAAATATAAAAGGGCATTCCAAAGTGAGAAATTTGCCAAATCTTTTATTAGTTTGGAGAATCTCTCGAGCTTGTCTCCGGCAATTGGATATCAGAACATGACAATATAAACCAGCTTATAATGTTTTATTTAGTAGTGAACTCCTCTAACTATCTTGTGTTTAGTCCATTTCCTAATCCTGCAAGCAAAAACTTGTCTCTCTTAAAGCTTCAAAAACTGAAACTTCCACTTCTTCTGCAGGAAGTTCAAGTAGGAATGGGCCCTTGTGGGGAGCTCAGATATCCAGCTTACCCCGAAAGCAACGGAACTTGGAAGTTTCCCGGGATTGGAGAATTCCAATGCTATGACAAGGTAATTGTTACAACCCTATGACTTTTTTCCTTACTTGGAAATTCACCAGTTTGCACAATTCCAGAACCAAATGGTCTTTTGCATACCATTCTCAAACATGCTGTCTGTGTCCTGCAGTATATGAGAGCTTCCTTGGAAGCATCAGCTGAAGCGATCGGAAAGAGGGACTGGGGACAAAGTGGACCGCATGATGCTGGTCAGTACAGACAGTTCCCTGAAGAGACTGGGTTTTTCCGGAATGATGGAACTTGGAAGACAGAGTACGGACAGTTCTTCCTTGAATGGTACTCCACTAAGCTATCGGCGCATGGTGATAGAATTCTGGCAGCTGCAAAAGGAGTTTTCCATGGAACCAGAGCAAAACTATCTGGGAAAATTGCTGGGATCCACTGGCATTACAGAACAAGATCTCATGCAGCTGAACTAACTGCAGGATACTACAACACAAGAAATAGGAATGGTTACAGTGCACTGGCACAGATTTTCGCCAAACATGATGTTATTTTCAACTTCACCTGCATGGAAATGAAAGATGGCGAACAGCCTCAACATTGCTCACCGGAGGGGTTAGTGCAGCAAGTAAAGATGACAACTAGATCAGCTAGAATTGAGCTTGCGGGAGAGAATGCATTGGAAAGGTATGATGCAAGTGCCTATGGACGAGTTTTAGCGACAAGTCGGTCAGACTCAGGTAATGGGTTGTGTGCATTTACATATCTAAGGATGAACAAGAGGCTGTTTGAAGGGGACAACTGGAGAAACTTGGTGGAGTTTGTGAAGAGCATGTCAGAAGGTGGTCGGAACAGAAGACTTTCAGAGTGTGACTCTACTGGGACTGACCTATATGTTGGATTCATCAAAGAGAAGAATGTGAAGCAAACAAAGGAGGCCGCTCTTGTGTAGAAAGTGTACAAGTAAACGTTCATCTATAAATGAGCATAGTCAGTGTATAATATGATAAGCGGAGAAAAAATGTAAGAAACATAGAGGGCAAAAATACTGATGTATCATACACCACAATTTGGCATAATATGCTAAAAGCTAGGGACAGTTAAAAGAAAGGAATTAGAACTTTGTATCTATAATTCTATATCTCCATTACGTGAATGGACAACTTCTATTCATTCAGAATTCCAAGAGATTATCTCAGGGAATCATTTCAGGATTCATAGAAGTGTTGCCAGTCAAATGCCATCTGAAAATTGTCCATAATAAAAGGCACTACTAGTTGTTCATAATCTATCATGTCTCTCTCGACTCTCAAGATGTTCTTTTATGATATTTGTGTGTTGATCATTAAAATATACATCTCAGATACATTCCAACTGTCTAATGATCAACATGCATGCACCGCTGTCTTTGTAACATTTATTGCCAAATGAAGTCATATGAATAATTAATACCTAACAATCATCTCATAATGAAGTATCTTTATCCTCCAATAGAGGTCAACAAGCAACTTATAAAAAATTCAATATCCAGGAGAGCACATCCGTGGTTATGGACAATGTACGGCATGACGACGCCACTAAAGATGGCAAAGGGACTGCTTTCAACAAAGGTCTGAAGACACCCTTCACTTGACTTAATCCGAGGGTTTGAAGATGCAAAATGTTTTAACGCCACTCAATGTTGGCAGCCTCAAATCCAACCACCTAAGCGTGCCACAATCTAAAATAAAATCCATACTAAAGACCGACGCAGGAATTTTCAGACAAACATGAATAGTCTTCAGCAACAGTGTGAAATATAGCAACTATTGTGCGCAATTCAATCAGATAAACCAATTAAGATCTGTTTGCAAAAGTGGGTGACGAAGTTTACGCAGCAGAAATAAAACAGCAACAACCTGCACCGGTGGGGTTATAAATAAGGAGCTAAAGAAAACTAAGCATGACGCAATTGTTTAGGTGAGCAATAGAATTTAACCATGTTACTAATCCAGACAAGATTTCTGCAGCAACTAGATTATATAGTTGTTAATCACCAATTAAGGTCATAACAGATAATCTAAACATGTTCCCGTGTGAACAAACAACTATTCTAATTCTTAACTATCCGAGGTCAATAAAATAAAGAAAAACAATCAAGCACGCCCAAAATTTCTAAAATGTGATTCGCCTTAATCTACACCGCCGTAGAATTTTGCTATGATGAAGAAAAAAAAATTACAAGAGTATCACAAGAATTATTGATATAGTTTGTACTTTGTTTTATTTCTAACAATTGTTCTCGCAGTTTTTTCTTTCCATTTTTATGATCTTTTTATCACTGCACGACCTCCTTGCATTGTACTTCATTGTTCTTTACATCTTTTTGTCTTAAATAAGTGTTGTTTCTTTTAGGGGAAAAAAAAATAAAAACAAAAATCTCATGGCCTCTCGCAAAGCTAAATTTTCATTTTGGAAAACCTAAGACAAATTTCTGAACTCAATTTCATCGAATATCGAAAATTAAAAAAAAATAGATAATTAAAAAACCTGTAACTTTATAAAAAGCCAAAATGAGCTAATTTGCAATTACATGAAATTCAAAATCAAAAAGCCAGAAAAAGTTGTTACATTCGGTTCAAGAATGAGGCGGTGGAGGATTGGAATCGGGATTCCCACGGCGAAGATCTTCAATCAAGTCGCCGAGCTCTTTCCGAGCAGATTCTCTTCCGAACATGAATCCATACCTGACAATGGTAGGATTTAAGGAAGGACCTGAATTCCCGAGAAAGTGACAGAAAGTAGAGAGAGAAAGAGAGAGAGAGAGAGAGAGAGAGAGTAGTACCAGAAGGAAACGGCAGAGAAGGCACCAGCAGTGAGAACTGTGTGAAGCAGAGTGAAGCTCTTCTCCATTTTTTTTGTTATTCTGTAAAAAATAATAATAATAAATGTAAAGCTTTAAAGCTACTACTGATCAACTTCCAAACAAGAATAGCTCACAGATTCTTTAGCTCTGGTTAGGGGTTTGTTTAGTTTTCGAAAAAGGTTTTTATGATTTTGACCTCGAAATTTCTTCTGTCGTTTCTTCTCGTTCAAATGAGAAATGACATGACTTCCTTTGTCTAAACTTGGCAACAAAAATAAAACGACAGTCTTCTCAATAAACGATAACTAACGACGAGAAAGTGAGAATGATGTACTAAAAGAACCGAAGGAGGACAAGCGTGAATAAAACGACAAGGAAACTGAAAACGACATAAATGTATAAAAAAAAAGAAAAAAAAAGAAGAAGAAGAATGATCTGAACAAACGTTGAGAAAGTTGACAACAACCATGGGTATGTTTGGTAGTGATTTTTAGAGTCAAAATTAATTTTTGTCATTCATAGTTAAAATTTGTGTTTGATAAAAACCATAAAAAGTTATTCTTACAAAAAATTTGAACAATTTACAATCAAAATCACCAACAGCTCAAAAACAACTTTAGATTGTGCGGCAATCACCTTAAAATATAATTAATGAAACTTTCATAATACTCATAAAATTAATACTTATATAATTACAGTTTACCAAACACTCAGCTGCTTTTTATAACAGTTATTTTTTTTAATACAGCTAACAACAATATTTTTAAAATCTACAGGACTGTCAAACTGGCCGAGTGAATGACTTCTTTCGTCTACAAGCATGTTTGCCAATGATGTTGTTGAAACTGGATATTTGTTTAGTGCACAATGCACCTTATAAGGGAGGTTTGAAAAGATTATTCAAAGAAAAAACAAAATATATACACATAAATTATACTAAAAAATTTATAAGTATATTCATTATTCCCCCTCCTACACAAAGACAATAAACAACACGTTCGCAAGTGCCTCTCACAACTCAGTTGACAAAAAATGATTTTCTTTCGCCTTGTTGATCACATTGAAACTCTACTTATACCAAATCTACTTGGATTTTCCGTTAACCAAATTAGATCTAGATGATAGAGACATTCCATTTGTAGGAGAGGACTTTTCTTCTGATTCTTGTATTGCCAGCTTCAAGCTCTCCACAATTTGGCTCATTGTTGGCCTGTCTTTTGCATTCTTGTTCAGGCACCTATCTGCCAACTTGGCAACTCTCCTTGCCGCGCTAGGAGAGAACTCGTTTCGCAGGCGAGGATCGATGATCATGCTGAACTTTTTGCTGTCAGCTGGGAACTGTTTCACCCAGTCTAGCAGCTTCTGCTCCGCGGTCGGGCGGTTTCTGTCCAAAGCCCGCCTTCCTGTGAGGATCTCATAGAGTACAACACCAAAGCTCCATATGTCACTGTGCACCGTGAGATGGCCTGTCTCAACGTATTCTGGTGCAGCATATCCGTATGTTCCAACCACCTATTAGGAAAAAACAAAACACCAAATGTCCTTAAGTTCGGGCATTGCAGAACATATATGAACACAACATTGTGATGAACAAAATTTTGGTGTTTCTGATGAATGAAAATAGTGAAATCTACACATTGAGATACAAAAGTAGCCTGGGCCACAGGGGGTCCAAGGCCGCCCTCAAGAAAAAGTCAAGCGGGCCTGGCCCAGTTTGACACTGTAAACAGGCCGCATGGCCCGGACTAAGGTTGGCTAAGCTAACGTCGGCCCAGCCCGAGATACGTCATGAGCCTGCCAAAATCGGCTAGACTGGCCTGGCACGGCCTATCTTGCATCTCTCTTCATGTACTCAAATCAAGAGGAGCTGGACACTTTAGAAGCTGGCAAATCTACTAAGAGAGGTAGAAAACCTTAGGAACGTTGCTAAATCAAGGCTAGTTTTATGCTAAAAAAATAATGCCTTGTGTGGCAGTTAAGTGCTTCACAGACCATTTTCCTAGGTGAGACGTCTAATTATTAGCAGTAGCTTTGCACATGTTATATGTCACACAAACTCAGGCAACTTTTCTGCTTATAATCTTATGCGACCTATAAGCTGCCATTAGAATTTTCATCTTTTGTCTACTTACCGCGGTGGATACATGAGTCCGGTCGCCGGTTGGCCCTTCTCTAGCAAGTCCAAAGTCTGAGAGCTTCGGCTTGAACTCCTCATCCAGTAGTACATTTGACGATTTGAAATCTCTATATATCACCTTCAAAAATATTCAAGGGACAAATTTTAATTATACAAAAAGATAGTAGTTTTTGCTCAACTGAAGGAAGAAAAAAAAAGTATATTAATTTTATACCTGGAGTTCAAGTCCTTCATGTAGATAAGCCAACCCCTCAGCAGCGCCAAGGATAATCTGCAACCTTTTGATCCAAGGCAAACTGGGGAAAGCCCTGTTAAATAGATGATCTTCCAAGCTTCTATTCGGCATGAATTCGTATACCAGTAACCGTTGGATTCCCCTTTCTCCATCTACTGCGCAATATCCTATAAGTTTTACTAGGTTTGGGTGGCTGAGAACTCCAAGGAATTGAACCTCTGAAAGCCATTCTTTATGGCCCTAAATGAGGAAAAGAAAAATGAAAGTTGGTTAAATGGATGAGAACACTATGAAGAAACTACTAGCAGCAGTAAAATGAAAGATCAGAGAATGATCAACAGTAAGGTGTACCATCACATTTATTACTACATGAAAAACTTTCACTAAAATCATCTGAAAAATTTGTGAGTGTATTGTTGGGCATTCTAGTTAAATTTACTAAAAGAAACGCAAAAAGAAATATTGGGGGTTCATTCGTTTTGTTATCTGGATGATTAAGAGAACATCAACAAATCTGAAACATCCTTTCAAAGAGATCTATTTTGGTCCACAAATGTAAAACATTTGGTCCATGTTTGTTCATATGGTACCATTGTGCAGCAATAATTGGGTTCCAGCAAAGACTAGATTCTACCAGTGGATATACGACATCAACAAATACAGAAAACACATATTAATTTTAGGATTAATCTCATTTTTAGTTCCCAGATTATAGGCCAAATCCCATTTTGGTTTATGAAATTTAAAACGTACCTGAATGAGTTCCTCATCTATCAAAATATCCCATATTAATCTATCCCAAATTAATCTTTTCATCCATCCAACTGTTAAAATCTCAACAAAATCATGTGTAACAAAAACCGCACATGATGCTTACATGTCTTTTTGGGTCAAGATTTTAGTAGTTGGATAAATGAAAAAGAATTTATTCGAGGACTAAAATGTGATTTGGCATATAATTTGAGGACTAAAAATGGGATCAACTCCTAAGCTTAAGCAGAAATTTGATTCCAACCAAAACAAAATGTTTTAAGCAGAAATTTTAGTTTAATGCATGAAACGTCCTTAGCGTAATTTATCTTAGAAAGAATGTGATAAAAAAGAGTTAAAAGCTACATTCTAATAAAGCAAAAAGATAAAATAGCACTACTCCTATTCACCCTTTTTGAGTCAGAAACATCCTAATCTTCATAACCAAAAAAGAAGAACAAAAAATCATCAAAACAAGCCGAAATAATCCAAGTCCTAAAGATGGTTATCTAAAATAAAGTCAAGAGGCTAGTCCTTGGTCAAAAATTAAAAATAACAAAAATAAAGAAATAGATACCGGGACATTTCAGTAACCACTCATTCTCTTTTCAGTTCTTGGTGAAGTTTGGTTAAATCATACATATATTGCCACCCAAATTTCTGTCTAGTCGCCAATTAAGGGCTTGTTTAGCTCGATAATTTGAGTTTTTAATTAGAGTTAAAATATAATTTTATGTGAGAGTTTTTTACTGTAATAAAAAAATTAGATATGACTGTTTCTGAGAGCTTTTTACCGTAATAAAACTCGAATCGATGAGATGAACGGAGCATAAATCATCAAAAATATCTAAACCACAAAGTCTTCCTATTGACCAAACAAAAACCGCAAGCATTTTTTTCCCCCTCAATTGCTTGAATATATCAAATTCAGACCATTAAAAATGCTCAATTATTTTAGTAATATTGTTTTCCTTGTTCAAACAGGTAATGGCACCGAGATAATTTCTTCACTTGAACACAAAAAGAAAGACCAAATAGGCCTTAGAATGTACTAAGAATAGGCATTTAAAATAAAAATAATAAAAAAAAAAGAGCCAAAATCTAAAAGCAACATAAACCCACCATTCTAAACATGAAACAAAAACAAAAATACTAACAATGAGAAACATAAGTAATAATTAGTGAAGTCACTATAATTACCTGTAAACTGTGCTGGTTTAACCTTTTAATGGCGACAACAGAAGAATTACCAATACTATTTGCAGGCCTAATTGTTCCCTTATAAACGCTCCCGAAACCGCCTTGGCCGATCTTAAGCAATCTGTTGAAGCCATTTGTTGCCTCTTTCAGCTCTTGCAAAGAGAAGACTCTCAAGTTGTGCTCTTTCTCTTTGTACAATTCCGGTATGCTTCTCGGCGATGGCAATGAACGTGACGATTTGGTTTCCCGATTTAACCGCCCGTTGTCTCCGGACTTGTTTGATCTGTTTCGCAATTCCGGGGCGGATTTTGCTTTGTGCTTGCTCTTGGATTTAAATTTGTCCTTGAAAGGAAAAAAGCACTTCATTTCTAATTTTGCTTAAGCTCTAAGAAAACGAATCAAGAAAGAAATAAGGCCGAATTTGAAGATGTAACAATATAACTGATAAAATTAGACAGATTTAAGTCCTCACAAGAAAGATAAAGAAGAGACCAGACAGAGGATAAGCTCAAAAGACCAAGACTTTACTTAGAAAGAGACAATATTAATGAGAGGAAATTATATGGAAAGTTTAATGAGATGAAAGATTGGAATTGTAAGAAGACAAAGAAAAAACCCAGATGGAGTCTGAGGTTTAAACGGCTGGAATAAGCGTGTTTGGAAAGGGAGGCGAACCAAAGAAGAAAAACAGAAAGTGCCCAAGTGGGAAAACCAAGACAAGACAAGATCATGTGGAAAGGCCACAGAAATCTATGTCTAGAGAGAGAGAGAGACAGAGAGAGAGAGAGAGAGAGAGAGAGAGAGAGACGTTGTTGAGGATGTCGTGTGTGAAACGAAAATTGGCAGGGAGAGAAGAGAAGAGAAGAGAAGAGAGAGAGAAAGGAAAGAGAGTGTTGTATTTTTCTATGATCCAATAAAAAGTTTTGAGAGGCAAAGACAAAGACGACTCTCAACAACAGTACGGACTCGGGTTTGGCAAGGCATAATATCGTTTCCATGTTTTAGCAAGTCACATTGAATTTTAAGCGCGAGTTTGGATTTTGTTTTGATTTGGTTTGGTTTGTTTCTTTTTTTTTTTCTTGAGATTGAGAAAGTATTTGGTGTCATTATTTGGTCATCGGTCTTCTTCGCATAAATGATCTATCTATCCGCTATGTGCGAAACCTGGCCATAACCAAACGCTCGACGTGACGCATGCATGTAGTTAATGCGGTCTTTTCTCTCAGCGCGTAAGGAAATTCCTCTCCAAGTATTTTCATCAAATGACCACCGTTTAGGGTACGTTTCCTTTATTCATTTAAATCAGTAATTTTAATTTATTTATGAGAGTTTTATGAGAAAAAAAAATTTAAAAATTCAAAATTTTTATAAAATAAAAAATATTATAATAAAATTAAAATCATAAATTTTAAAATAAAATTCAAACGAAACCTAAAATTCTCTACTTAGAACATATCTTTAATTTAATAATATTATTAGTCTGTTTATTTTATAGTTATATTTTAATGTACCCAATTCATGTGAGTAGTTATGAATTGTACATAGCCGGTTTTATAGGTGGTTAATAAGGAATAAAAATTCGTTACTGTTATGACGTGACGACCCTCTTTAGGTGGCTTATTGACATTATTATATATTTGTTGAAATTTTTTAAAATTTGCATAACATTTTTTTTTACTCTTATAGTAGTCATAAATTTCAAATTGCTTTCTTAATTATAACAAAATATCCATACCTTAACATGTTTGTTTTCAAAGCATATATATGTTTATATGTATATATTTGATCCTTAAGTCTTACTTTCTTAACAGTCATAATCAATATAACCGTTTTAATATATAGTTTCAGAGTCATAATTAGCAAAACTATTTATCACATAAAAACTAATTGCGAAAATAATTGCGAGCGGTATCCATTTCCCGATCTCCACATTGTTTGTCCACAGTCTCGCCATCAGTCCATCAAACATTAATTGTAGGTTGCTTACCTACAATATAAATATTCTATGATGAGCTTTCACTCAACAAGTAGGAACAATCTCTCACAAAATAACTGAAAGTTCACATGAATAAATATGCATGAGTCAATTATACTTAATTATAATCATTTCTTATTAAATTCTTATTATCTTATTGTATCTTACTTACTGATGGGCCTGAGTGCTCGTACCATGTGCGCGCAATCATCGAGACGTGAGGGTTTGTAAGGTCCCCAACGACACAGTGATTTAACTTACTATATACTTCTTTTTGTTTTTTTTTTCCTATCTCCCTTGTGGAGTCTGAGTTACCTCCCTCTCAGAGGCTGGTACGACACTCAACTGAGATTATTCTTATAAGTTTCACTTGACTTATTAAGGTGTATGCAATATGGCATGGCATCACATAAAGCATAAACATGCATAAATAACATGTGTAACTTTTTCTTTTAAATATATTCATATTGTAGGCGAGATTCCTACTTACCTAATTTACAGAGCTGGAATCCACTATTCGCCAAACAGCATATTCTCTTACTTGCTTACTTCTGAAAATGAACACTCATTAAAAGTGTGAGATTAACTATCATTTGTTATTCTATTTTAGCAACTTATGAAGGAATCTAATCCTTTACTTAAGGCATGTCTTCCTTTCTTTTATCAAAGAATCGTAAAAATTTACTATAACGATTAATTTATTAAATTCTCAAAATCTTATTTTTCTTAGTTGCCCTTAACATACGTATGCTTAGATTGAAATCAATTATCTAATCTAGTAGCTAATTCTCCATAAATTACCTTATTGGGCTTATTCTGATATTAAGGCCCAATTCGGCCTACAGACTTAATAACAGCTTTCTAACTCTTAAACCGTTGAAATTTAGACTTGAGCGGGAGTTCTTGAAGTAATACGGGCATTGAACCTGTATCTAATCTTTGTAATTCTAAGGGCCTAATACATTTGGCTCGTAAGTTTCCGTTGGGATGTTTTGCTTGAAAACTATTAGAGTTTTAAAAGAAACCATTGTTCGATTTTCATAACTGATTGCTCATTTATTTTAGTTATAAGTACTAAAATTCCATTATCAGTCCTAAGTTAATTTCCTTTCGAATACTGACTCTTAAAACTATTTCTCAAGTCATTTTACGGTTAGTTCGTAAACCACCGTGAAACCATATCTTAGAACCATTTTCTCAAAAACTTTCTTCATGAATATTTTGCGTTAAAACGAGCTCTAAAACCATAGTATTTCACTGAAATCACATCTCAGATTCTTTGATAAACTTTTTGTTAAAAATCAAAACTGTTTTAGTTTTGTCCAGTTAAAATTATGCAGTTTTAAAAATCTACATTTTACTGCATCTTAGAGTCGGATTTTAAAATTTTATTTTTCACGAGAATTCTTTGTCTCGTTGAGATCTAAAATTTTTGTTTTCAAAAAAAGCTGAGATTCGGCCTCTAAAGGGCTCGTTTGGCTGCCACAGTGGCTGCCAATTTTTGAAGCTGTTTTTAGACAGCTTTGGTGCATTTTTGAAAATGGCTTAAAATTTATATTTAGAGTTAAAAATGGGTTTATTCACAGTTACAAAAAAACGTTCAAAACATCGAGAACCATAAGTTCAAAAGAATAATTGAAAAATCTCGTTCTACGATTCTCATTTTAGCGTTCAAATTAACTGGAAAATTTTTACCTCTAACCAAAATAAACAAAACTTAAACCAAGTATAAATATACCACATAATATTAATCAAAATAACCTCAAAACATACAAAACTAACATAAAACTCTCACACTCTTATTACAAACCATAGCCTCAAGGAACCACAAATTACATCTATAATTTCAAGCTTAAGGTTGACTAGAAAAATAATGAAAGAGAGTTTAGGAAATTACCCTTAAAGAACTCTCTCTTGAAAACCTTTAAAATCCTCTTCTCCTTCAACTTAAACTAAGATTTGTGATGAGAAGTATGGAAACTTTTAAGAGTATGCAAGCTAGAGGGAGGCTTGATTTTTGGTGAGGGAAGAATGGAGAAAGTTTTGAGGCTTGATATTTGTTCAAAATAACGTCAAGAAGAAAAAGAAAAAAAAAATTGCTTTTGTTGAGACTTTCCCAAAAAAAAAAAATGGCAGTCTGTGATGACCTGACAGTGTTGATATTATCACATAAGAAAATTCTTGGTGGGATAAATGAAATACCATATGATGTGTTTACTGCTTGAAATTTAATAACATTTCAGTAAATTCCATTATATTTATGTAATATTTTAATTCTGATAGGATACAACGTTTAGAAATGTAAATTCCACTATATTTATGCACTCTTTTCATTCTGATAGGATCCAAGATACTCTCTCATAAAAGCCCTCTATCAACTAATGGCTAATAGCTTACCAATTATTTAATCTAGATATTAGACCATAACAAAATTATTCAGTATAGAATTAATGTGATAAAATTCAACAAAAACATATCAAACGACAGAAGATATGAATGAATCGAATTATTTATCCTTCAATTTATTAATGAATTATCTTTCCAAAGATGGTAAAAGATGGTCCACTAAAAAAATGTTTGTTATTGTCTAGACTCATATTCCTTACAAAATAAATCGTAATAGCTCCAAATAAATTAAATACATGCATTAAGATATGAAGGCTTCTTATTCATAATAATGAAGGTAACGTTTGGTTTATAGATTCAAAATCATGATTCATGATTTTGATTTTTGAAATTTAAATTTTTTCTGAGAGAAAAACACTATAAAGAATCATGAACTATGATTCAGAATTAAAGATAGATACATGAAACAAACATTCCCGATAGCACGGGATGGGTTGGGAATTAAATTTGAAAAGATTTAACTTCACATTGTATTAAAAATAATAAAGTGTGATAACTCTAAACATTTACTACTATCAAGATGGATTTCATACTATACTACAAGCTTTTTTATTATTTGTGGATAATATATTTTTGTAACTTGAGTGTACAAATAGTCAAAAGCAAAGGGGTAAGATTGTTTGACTCAATGGTCAATAGTGAGGATTTGACACCAAATCAAATATTGTTGTGCATGCATATCCAAGAATAAGGCTGACGTAGCCACGTGGAATCACTCATCTAAAAATTGGAAACGCTTGAGGCCGGTATATCACGGGTTCCTAGGCTCGACTTTTTGCGCGGTCTTCATTGTTTTCACATGCAATTATCAACTAAGGTAGTTCATTTCCTTTAGTCCCTATATTTTCTTTTCTTTTTTTTTTTTTCATTACAAAGAGGGGAAAAAATAGAATAAGAAGTAATTATGACGATGCATTATATATAATCATTATAATAATAAGTTTCATGTGTTGAAGACTTGAAGGTTGTACCTGATACTATCAATGTGAACGAATATTGCATCCTAATATGGTTACCTAACTCCACAAAAGAAGGAAAGTAAGTACAAAATGTGAACCCCATAACTCTAAAAATCGTCTACAATAATTTGTAGTCAAGTGGGTATCATAGTACCACTTGAAAAGATTCAAAGAAATTATTAGAAAAATTAAAGTCTCGTTTATTTCACCGATTTGAGTTTAAAATTTGAGTTTTATTATAGTAAAAAATTTTAAAAAACAATCATATCAAACTTTTTATTACAGTAAAAAACTCTCACATAAAATTATCTCTTAAAAATGCATGATTTGATGACGTAGCAAGAATAAAATTATAAGATAAATGATAGAAGCAAGTATTGAGTTTGTGTGCATATGCAAGCTAATAGAAGCAAATAATAATAATAAGGAAGAAAGAAAGAAAGAAAACGCCACACATGTGCAAAGTGTGCCCAAAAGGAAACAGCTTTTTTGGGTTTTTGAGTCAATGCGCAAAGTTGGATTAAGAAAATAAAACTCAACTAATGATTA